CATATGTATGTAGAAACCATTTTATAATTAAAAGATGAACAAATAAAATACCGAACTAACATTGTAATATTATTATTATTTAAGGTGAATAAATAAAATATCTAACTAATATTTTAATATTATTATTATTATTATTTTAAAATAAATTAAGTAAAAGAAATTGAAAGATAAAAGCATTTTTATAAAATTCATTCATTATTTAGTTTGATTCTCTATACGGTTAAGCTTTAAAAATTTGTTGTTTCTACTTTCCATTTCATATTGATATTCGTTATTTTGTACTTGTTCTGCTACAATCTTTCAAGATGTGCGATCCTTATCATTTATCTTCTCTAATTTTGTGATAAATATGTATGTATGTATGTGTAGAAGCTAGTTTTAGCGCCTTATAAAATGCTATTATATACTTGAATATATCTACGAAATTCAACAGTCTCTACAGTTTGAGAAATGAACAAGGTTCTTAGACATTTTGGAATTTCAGAGCTAGCAGGAATTATTTCTCCTTTATAGCAACAAAAGCTCAGAGGTTTATATTCAAATCTTTTAGCCTTACGTAATTCATGCGATTCATATGCTAGAGAGCAAACAATTTGTGATGATGTATCACCTATTTTTCATATATATTAAACAAGCTATAAGTATTAGAATCAAGTCTATATAGTAAAAGATGTCAAAAATAATAATTAATTTTGTATGTTTACCATTTGCTGAAATTGTCTCATAATGCCTTTCCAAAGAGTAAATTGTACGGTCAAATGTGTTTGGGCTATTGCGTTTTTTTTTCCTATTATTTGAAATATGTTTAATATATTGTTGTCGTTGTTTAGGTGTAAATCTACTATATCGATTTTTTTGTTGAGCACGATGTTCTTAAATTGCATCTGTGATAAATCCTTTTATTAGTAACTGTAACAAATCATGAACATTTTTAAAAAAAATTTATTTATCGAAATTGACATAGTTCATACCATTGGTATTTTTCTTTTCATGTTCTGACCAATAATATGGAGAGAAAAAAAATAAAGGAAAAAAATTAATTTGAGCTACGCATGAGAATGGGAAGTGGCTATATTAAACTGTTTGGTAAAAAAAAAGAATGAACAAGCATCAACCAATAAAAGGATTGAACTTAGATCAAAACAAAAATTAGTTATTTTATAGGAAAATCCAACCAGTTCGTATGTATTAATATGTGAGTTTAAAAAATTATAAAGTAGAAGGAAAGTTACTCTTATATATATGTTCAAATGGTTAAACATTAATTAAGTGTTATTGTCAAGTTTTTTGTTACCTGTGAATTTTTCCGGTGACTTTTTCTTGCGTGGCTTTACTACCAATCAAGATTTTACTTTGAATTTAATGATTTATACCCCTTTGGCATGGACTTTCACCAATTTTCTCTAAATGTATATATATATATAGAAAACCAATGTCAGATCTGTTTTTTATAAGACTCAAAATTGCACTCAAGTTAAGTGTTCAATTCATTAATGTATTAGAAAAAAAAAAAAAAAAATTACACTTGGCACTTCTTATCTATGCAACCAATAGGGCATTCAATAAAGTTGTTGAATTGTATATGTTTTTTTTTAAGCTTTGTTACAAGGTTATAGGATTGGACATAACTCTTTCAAATTAGGTGATATTTAAATATTTTAGATTTAAATTATAAATTTGAATAAGAATTTAAAAAAAGAGAAGGAAAAATGTAAAAATAATGGGAATAAGTTTAAACTAAATTTTTTCCCTCAAAATATTGTACTTGATTCTATAACTAATTCTTTACACCGAGAAGTTTTCATTTTTATTTGAATAAGTTGAATAGAAAGTAATGTTGAATTATAAGTTATTAATTATGTGAATTAGTTGGATAAAATTCATGGAAACACCATGTGAGGTTGCTTGCCCTTCGACATGGCAATAACTTGACCAATTATTAAAGACGATAGACTCGACTCAAAATTGTAAATTAATCGAATGAAATTCATTTAAATTTTATTTAAATTCACTTAAAATAATAATTTAATCTAATAAATTCCATCTTATAAATCTAGTAAAAAAATAATTTAATCTTATAAATCCTACCACCGTGATATTTTCTGTTTTTCTTTATTTATAAATTATGTCATCTCCATTAAAAAAATAAATAAAAAATATAATTTTTTCAATTTTTTAGATTGATTTATACACAACTTCCATTACATCATAGTGCTGTGATCATTTGCTAGCCCCCAAAATACGAAACTTTTTTTAAACTATTATTTTCATAGAAATCTCAAAATTTTATTTCACGTGATTCCAAAATTGTAATATGAAACTTCTTTCAAACTATCACTCTACACATCTTAATATTTAAATGAAGCATTTTTATATATTTTCTACATCTTAATATTTTAATTTAAAATTTGTTTTCTAATTTGTATACAATATTAATAATTAAATTTTTTGTAAATAAATTATTAAGTGAATTATCTATTTTTAATGATATGAGAAATATTTTTCAATAAACAATTTTGATAATTTTATTGTTATATAGGAGGGTAGTTAGAATTTTTTTTCCTGTTTTTTTAGTTAAATTAAAAAATTAAACAAAGAGTAGTAATAATGGGAACTTTAAGTATTTTTAATATTAAAAGCTGAAATTCCTACAGGTGAGTAGATTAATTGCAAAAATATTTATTTTCTTTATATATTTTCAAGATTTTTCTTGGTTTAAATCTAACAAAATTTCTCACACCCATTGTTCATGATGAGGTAATGGATGAGACAAATATTGAACAAGTCATGATAGTGAAATTATTAAAAGAATAATCATACTATGATATTTGAAGGTATTTGATGTTTGAATGCTCACTATTCATGAGAAGGTAGTGGAAGAGAACAAAATTACTTGCACCTACCGCTAGTAATAATATAAAATTTACTTGCATTATTCTAGTAAATCAGATAAAATCAATTGTTTTACAAGAATATGATATATATATATATATATATATTTGTATGATCAAAACCAAACTATGTATGAATAATTATAAAAGAAAAAAAGAAAAAATAGAAAGAGGAGGGTTTGAGGAAGAGATGAGAAATAACAATGGAACAATACATACCAGAATCTAATGCAAATTGAAGACCTAGTCATGGACTGATCAACAAGTTCTAGAAGTAAGATGCATGATCTAACTCTAGTTTCATGCCTATTGTTAGGGGTGAGCATGGTCCGGATTGGAGTAAAACCAGGACCAGTCCGTTATTTACGGATCCTGAAAAATTAAAAATCCAATCCGTTTAAATCGTGGAACCAATCCGAACCAATCCATTTAAATACCGATTGAATCGGTTTAGGACCACGGATTTATATAATTAAATAACAAAAAAAAATATATATATATATATAACATTAAAAGCTCACATTCTTACAGGTGAGTAGATTAATTGCAAAAATATTTATTTTCTTTATATATTTTCAAGATTTTTCTTGGTTTAAATCTAACAAAATTTCTAGCACCCATTGTTCATGATGAGGTAATGGATGAGACAAATATTGAACAAGTCATGATAGTGAAATTATTAAAAGAATAATCATACTATAATATTTGAAGGTATTTGATGTTTGAATGCTCACTATTCATGAGAAGGTAGTGGAAGAGACAACAAAATTACTTGCACCTACCGCTAGTAATAATATAAAATTTACTTGTATTATTCTAGTAAATCAGATAAAATCAATGGCGGATCGGTTCCAATCCGGAACCGTGGGATTCAATCCGGAACCAATCCGTGAACTACGGATTTTTAATTTTTCAATCCAGAACCGAACCACGGATTCAAAAAACCAATCCAAACCTACTGGATTAGACTGGACTTGATCGGATTACGGATTTCACGGATTTCTTACTCAGCCCTACCTATTATTGTTTAACTCGTCAAGATGTTTAATTGATAGCAAATGGTAATGTTTCAAGGTATTTGGTTATTTTAAAGTGTTGGAATTTCAAAAAATATCTATGATTTTATTGATGTTTAACAAGTTTGAAAGGATATTTTTGAGATATGTAAAAAGTAAAAAATATGACAATTCTTTACACCTCTATAATAGTAGTAGGTAGTAGATATATAAGATTAAAATACTAAAAACCTACACTTATATTTATCTTCACTTTTTTGTTACTCATTCTATATATTATAACCTTCATCATTTATAAATCATAATCGATAATATATTATATAATCTCTAATTTTTATTAGTATCATTATTTTTAAAGTAACAAAATTAATTCATTCATATTCTACTCCGACCTTAATATGATACAAGATGAGAGTGGTGCACTGTAAACCGCGGCCACCACCGTACCTTCTTGTTATTCTTAATTCAATAGTCCTCATATAAGAAATTAATAGTTAGTCCAAATTAACAATCTGACCAAACAAATATTTATAGATTAAGGTTAAGTTTGGCATCTATTAAATAATACAAAAAGTCAAAAAGTTACTATTCTATTTAAGTCACATCATCTTATTTAAATCACATCACTTCTGTAACACGTCACATCAAACCTAACTCAAACCCAACTTATATAAGCCAATAAATCAAAAAGTGTACTTTTTTAGAACACCCCAAACCAAAAGCTGACAATAACGTTACAATTTGAAAAGGAAAAAAGAAATAAAGAAAAAAATTATTTACGTTTCTCTCATTTTTTTTTCTTTTTCCTTTTAAAATTTTCACCCAAAAAAGGCAAAAAATATATATATATATATACACATTTTTGGGTATCATATGATAATCTCTGTGTTTATATTATTAAATTAATAAAATTAAGAAAAACAGACACACAAAAGTCTGGGTGGTGTAGTCGGTTATCACGCTAGTCTCACACACTAGAGGTCCCCGGTTCGAACCCGGGCTCAGACACTTTTATAAAACTTTATCTACGTTCAACACGACGTCGTCTTGATGCCCTTTGGGTTTTCTACTTTTCTTGGGCCTTTCTTGAACAAGCTAATGCTAGGGATTTACAGAGCCTCCAAGATTCAAGCTTTGATCTTGCTTCTCTTTTTTTTCTTTTTTTCAGAACCAAACAGGGCATTATTTCTTGCATTAATTGATAAGTTTTTGAAATACAAACCACAGTTCTTCAATTCAGTGTCAGCAAACACAAGAAACTAAAGAAAAATGTATCTCCAAGCACCCTCAATTTCAAGCTACAGCCTGGTTCCACAAAATTTCTTAGCTTCTTCTAATTTTCTCACAACTTTCCCACCAGACAAACAACACTACTCCAAAGTTGTGCAAACTTCAGTTATGAAACATGGGTTTTGGAGTTCATCCAAAAGGGTGTGTAGATCACTGACTGGTGGTTTGATTGGTGTCAGATGTGAAGTGAAAGAGAAAGATGATGAAGATGGGTTTTACATGAGGAGGTGTGTGGAGATTGCAAGGAAGGCTGTTGGGTGTACAAGCCCTAATCCCATGGTGGGTTGTGTTCTTGTGAAGGGTGGGAAGATTGTTGGTGAAGGGTTTCATCCCAAAGCTGGCCAGCCTCATGCTGAGGTAATTCTGCAATTTTATCTTTTCTTTTATTTTTCTACAAAAAATAGCTTATTTTTGTTTTATTGTACCTGGCAAATGCGAAGCCCCTAATAGCAGTTGGCAAACTTGCAAAAAATGGAATATATGCACTTCTATCTTGAAGGTTTAGATGTTTGGTTCCTTTAGGCTGTCTTTTTCTCTTTTCTTTTCCAAATTCCTATCTAGATTCATGATTCAAACACAGCATACTGAAAAAATATTTGACTCTGGGATTCTTTGAGAAGGGTTTTATAGTTAAAAGAGCTGAAGTGTCTTCCCTGCTGGTTTGATATAAAGATACTTTACTATAGGTTTATGTTATGTGTAAATTGTAATTCTGTTGTAGGAGATAAAAATTTAGACAAAAAGACAGCATTTAGATGCTATGATTGATCATTTTGGCACTGGGAAAAAAATTGAACCTTCTTTACTGGCTTTCCAAAACGAATGAGGGAACGAGAATTAGAGGAAAAAAGAAGAATTAATTATTTATTTATTATTTTTTGAGTGGGGTGTGGGGTTGGAACTCTTGTTCTTCTGTTTGGCTTTGTGCCGAATGATTTGAGTTGGGAGCTGGAATTTGCAGGTTTTTGCCCTGAGAGATGCTGGGGATTTGGCTGAGAATTCAACGGCGTATGTGAGCTTGGAACCGTGTAACCATTTTGGCAGAACTCCACCCTGTACGGAGGCATTGATTAAAGCCAAAGTGAAAAAAGTGGTGGTTGGGATGGTGGATCCGAACCCAATTGTGGCTTCAAAGGGTGTGGATAAGCTTCGAGATGCAGGAATTGATGTGATGGTGGGTGTCGAGGAAGATTTGTGTAAGAAACTTAACGAGGCCTATATACATCAAATGCTAACTGGGAAGCCCTTTGTTACACTGAGGTGAACTTAAATATTCATAGTTGCCAAAAGCTATTTTTTCTTTATGTGATGGTTTATTTCATGTATTTTTGTTGGTTTGTATTCTTCTGACTCTCATCCGAACCCAATTGTGGCTTCAAAGGGTGTGGATAAGCTTCGAGATGCAGGAATTGATGTGATGGTGGGTGTCGAGGAAGATTTGTGTAAGAAACTTAACGAGGCCTATATACATCAAATGCTAACTGGGAAGCCCTTTGTTACACTGAGGTGAACCTTAATCTTCATAGTTGCCAAAAGCTATTTTTTATTTATGTGATGGTTTATTCCATGTGTTTTTGTTGGTTTGTATTCTTCTGACTCTCATTAACTACCTTTTTCCTTTTTAATGTTAAGTCTCTTTTGTTCCCATGAAAAAAAAAAAAAAAAAAAAACATTAAACATGAAAATAATACTTCTTGATGTTTTCTGGCTCACCTGCAGGTACTCCCTCACTGTTGACGGCCACTTTTCAGATCAGCTCGGAGAAGAAGCCACAAAGTCTGGTGGATACTACTCACAATTGTTACAAGAATACGACGCGATTATACTTTCCTCCACCTCATTAACCAATAAGTTTTCTTTCCCAGCATCCAAAGAACCTGGAGCTAATCAACCTCTTCAGATTCTAATAGCAAGAAACCCTAGCTCTCCAGTTGAAATCCCGGTACTCACCACAGAAGTAGCTTCTAAGGTGATTATCTTCACTGATAAAGAGACAAATGTGGAACCAAAAACAGCTGAGAGGGGAATTGAAACTGTGGTTTTGGACAGAATAAATTTGATGACGATTCTGGACTATTGTAAACGCCACGGACTGTGTAGTGTTTTGTTGGATATAAGGGGCAATAATGGAGATTTTGAAGAGATTCTCAGAGAGAGTTTTGAGCAAAATATACTGCAGAAAGTTGTGGTGGAAGTGTTGCCAATTTGGAATGGAAGCAAAGAAGAGAGGTTGCCTATGGCGTTGACGAGTCTAGGGCAAAGATTAAAGTTGAGAAATTTCACATCAAGAAACTCAAGCCAAAGTGTTTTGTTAGAGGGATATTTTTGATCGATATGATTGGACCAGTGGAGAGAGACTAGGGTTTGATTCAACTTCCATGATTTTTCTGTTTTGTTCCTCTACTTGAAAAATGTATACTAGAGAGCCCTCTTGGGATCCGGAATTTTTCATCCCCTATTCTTTTTGTATGTGGAATTTTCAAAGAAACCCTAGAACTGTATTTGCTTGCTTAGGCAGTTCACTTGATAATAAGATCCACTTTGAGAGTTTGTTCTCATTGTGGCATGTACTGTATCCATTTCCATTTTCATCTGAGCTCGAGTTCTTGTTCTTCATCATCACATCTGAACAAAGGTTTGGATCCAAACGATATTGTTCTCTGAATTGTTAACCGAGTCCCCCTTACACATTGGAGATTCAGTTCCACTACTAATATAGAAATATATCACAGAACAGGACACAATATATGAATGAACAAAATTTTATAATTTACCACCGCCGTCATTGTCACCACCCCAACACCACCACCACTACTACCTCCATCACCCCACCCCCACTTCCACCTCAACTACCCCACCACCATTAATATGACCATTAGTACATTAGTTTTAAGGTCGCAAAATGTTTGTAATAGAAAATATTTTTGGAAAAAGTTTTTCATAGAAATGTTTCTGGTGAAACAAACAAAAGGTTCCTGAGTGAGAAAGCGTCAGAGATAGGCAATGGAGCAGAATATTATCTTAAAAGTTCAAGCTGAACACGACAGTGATATTTCAAGCTCCAATTCAAAGTAAAAGAACAGTAATAATGCATTTTTCTATAGCAAGATTCTATCATATATACATATAAGCACCAATCTTTACAAATTTGTATGTGCTTAGCTCTAAGCTTCTAACTAAGAGGCCTACTTTCAATTACATATAGCATGGATCGATAACTTCCATATCTGGCAGATATGAAAAAAAAAAAAAAAAAAAAAATGTTCGACAATGAATTTGTGAGGATCTTTTAAAACCCAAGTTTCGCATCCACCTACGAACTTGGCCGGCCATTTGGGGAGTGCTCACTAGAATGGCGCTTCCTCTTTGCATTGAGTTGTGCTCGAATTATTTTCTCAGAAGCGATCGCCTCCTGTATGTTGTCGTGAACCAACACCTACGAACTTGGCCGGCCATTTGGGGAGTGCTCACTAGAATGGCGCTTCCTCTTTGCATTGAGTTGTGCTCGAATTATTTTCTCAGAAGCGATCGCCTCCTGTATGTTGTCGTGAACCAACTTACACAGCTCATCAAGGGCAAGCATTGGAAAGGGCTCCTCAATAAGAACACCAACCTGCAAAGATTGATCATCAAATTTTATTATCTTCTCTGCATAAACTATGCATGATAAGTGAATACAAGCAAATTAAGAATATCCAACCGGTTTCTTTACTTTCTTGAAAATCTGCACTTAATCAAAATCCAAAAAACAGACGAGATTCTAGGATTCACAAATGCGGATCCCTTGTGGACAAAAGTAATTTGTATTAGTACATAATTTAGTTGCGTGTGAAAACCTTTAGGCTTGGTGCCAGGTATTTGATCAAATAGGATCGTTTAGTTCCAATAGAACCTATCACTAAAATACCCCTAGAGGGAGATAAAGGCTAAGCGGAGCAAAAAAAGGTTTTTCATGAGATGGGAAATCAAAACTATTAGCTCCACATGAGGTTTCTAAATAAGTGATTGTCTGACAATACAAGGTAGAAGGGCATATGGGCAGCCTTTACATTGAGAGAGAGAGAGAGAGAGAGAGAGAGAGAGGAAGTGATGGAAATGTATACATGTGATATAGCAGTGTTACATGTGTTATAGATTGTGAAATATTATATACAACTGAAAACAAATTTCAAGCACTTTAGCCACAGAATTTGGAGGTCAAATGTAGGAAGCGGGGCTTGCTGGATTCGTACTTATGCGTGCGTGCATGTGTGTATGAGATAGAGAGACAGAGAGAGAGGATACTTCTTCAATGCAGAACAATGAAGCAGCACTAACGAAAGTAGCCGGAACAACAATCCAGTTGCAATCATCCCAAAGTATAATGGGAAGAGTAAGATGCCAAAGGACTAGAAACCTCGAGGTCAAGCGCGTGTACGAGAGAGGGATTGGTATGCCTATGAGCTGTTCACAAACACCAATACCTTCATGGAAACAAGAGATTTTTGACTCCTGCAAAATGATATTGAAATCAAAATACAAGAATTGACACGAATTCTTTATCTATCCCACAGCCTACACTCTGACAATTCAAGTCTATTTTGTGAATCATCTGTATAAATCTGTCACATAGACCGCCAAAAAATTGTGTAAATATATTTCAGAAGGCAATTACCAATAGATTTCGCTTAGACTCCTCTAAATTTAGCAACTGGAGACCTTGGGAGATGAACTCGATAATGCAGCGAGGGTGATGCTTTGAACGGAGAACTACTGCTAGATCATCAACTTCAAGCAAACTTTGTAGGTCTTGCCCAGCATTTGAGCCATGAACTAAATGGCACTGCATTCAAATGTTTATATCATTAGTTTGTAACATCAAATTGGAATTATTAATTTATTATCCTCTATGAAATCTAAGATAAAACATATTATCAGTAATATTTCCTCCTTTTTTTTTTTGATGGCCACTTCTAAGTGATGCGATTACATGTTAATTAAACTGTAAAATTTTAAAATCTCATAGAATTATATATATAAGGGATTGGTTAAGGTTACTGGTCACCAATTTAGTTGGTTTTGGGATTTTTGGACCCAAAACTGAAAAGAATCAATGTTAGAACCGAACGAACCAACCATGAGTTCACGTGTTATTCGGTTCTTTTATGCACCCCAGCAAGTCTTTTTCCCATTTTTTATAAAGATTATAAAGAAGAAATCCTTGCTGCAAATTGGCAATATTGTTTCATCTTATGTAATTTTTTCTCAGATATTTCACTCACTAGTGTAACCTTTGTGCATTATGCCAAAGGTTAGGTGTATACTCAATCTTTCCCCTCCCAAACACACATTAATGTGTACTAATTGGGCGTTATTTTTTAATATCTCAAACATTTATATAGATACAATACAAAAAAATGTTTCCATTTTCCTTTTCTTTGTTTTCTGAAACAAGCAAACCCCATCACTTAAAAAAAGAAAGCATCATCAACAACAACAAAAAAAAGAGGGAGAAAGAAAACACTAAATTCACTAACCTTGAGGGCAACTGGAAAGGCCATGATATACTGCAAAAGAGCCTTCTTTAGGGATACATCATTTGAGCTTTCCACACTAGCAATCACTTGGCGGGCGAAATCATTCGTCCCCGAAATCACCTTAGTCCAAGCCTTCCTCCCTTCCTCAAACCTCGAATATGACGCCTCTGTCCTAAAAACCAATAAAAGCGCTAAAGCTGGTGCTGTCAACTGGTACGGCAACGATGAAGCCTTCAAAACTGGGAAAAAATCCGGTAACCAATGCACCAAAACCGCTGAATTGTAGCCAGCAATTAGCACAGCAAATGAAGTAAAAGCGATCACTGGAGGCACAAGAGAGAGAATCACCCGAGACGAAAGGCTCGAAAGAAAATGCCTAATGTGCCTTCTAGAACTCCTATGCTCTAACCACTTTTCATGGCTGTACAGAGACCTACTCTTCTTCATACCCCTCTCTTTAATTTTATCGGCCCAATCGGGGATTGCATGGAGAATCGAGTTTAGGGTTAGGTTTTGATTGGGGTTAGGGTTTGTGGATTGTGGGTTTTGTGAACAGAGGATATTGATAGAGGGTTTGTTGGGTTTGGAGGGAAGAGGAGGGTGTAATTTGAAGTGGGTTCTGAGGGTAAAATGGGAAGATGATGATAAATTGGGAGAGGGCTTGATTGGGGTTGTGGGTTTTGACATTGGTGAAAATTAGGGTTAGGGTTTGGGAAAGAGAGGGAGGAGGAGGGAACATGTTTTGGGTTAACAGAGTAGGATAGTGGAGAGTTAAGTTGGAGGGAAAGTGGATGGGTAGGTAGTTAGAAACGGTTAAATTTGTGAATGAGGTTTTTACACATGTTCCAATGTATTTTGTGATAGAAAAAGAGTGGATGAAACTTGTGTCACATGGCTGTGAGTCACAGTAAATTGAGTCCCACCAGATGAGCATCTGAACTGAATGGGCTTTTTCATAACGGTGGTGCTAGAGACCATTAATTTAATGGCTCTAAATCCACCACTAATGAGGTGGTAAAGAAAAAAAAAAAACAAAAAAAAACAGACACAATACAAACTGTGGCAATGGGTGGAACTCACTGCCACATCACTAGTTGTAGCTCTAATTAGAGCTCTCACTCATTTTCCTTTTCTTAATTGTCAAAGTCAGTGTGTATCAGAAAAAAAGTTGCACGTTGTTGTTGTTGTTTTTTTTTTTTTTTTCTGTACAAAAAAAATTATAATAAAAATTGTGTATTTGGGCCATTGTGAAATTTGCTCAGAATATGCCACTAAAAAATGTAATTTAAAGAGTTTTAAAAAATATTTGATTATTAAAAAGCAAAAGGAAATATGCTACACTCTGGAAAAAAAACACTAATTTCACAATTTTTTATACTATCGGTTGGTATACGCGATACGTGTATAAATTAAATAAATAAATATAAAATAAAATATTTAACATATATTAGTTGTAATTTTAAGTGATAAGAATATTTCCTATCAAATTTGTGGTATTGAGTTCAAGTGTTGGTCCATTCTCTTTTTTGGTTATTTATTTTTTATTTTTTGATTGATAACTGGATATAACATAAAGAGAGACAAAGTTTCAAAAAATTAATCTAAGTACTCACATATATAATAGTATAAATGTTTGACATAATGCATTACGAAAATTAACAAAAAATATTTTGATCATAGAAAAAAAATAATTAAAGTTTACCACAAAAAATGTTTTCCGTTTGAAATAAAAAATTTTTTCTATGATACATGAAGGTGGTTTTCATGTATCATACATAAATAATTTTGGACCATTAGATCTAAAAGTAAACTAAATCTAACCATTGATTGATAATAATAAAACTAGGTTAAGAAATATAGGTAGTTTCGTAAAAAATAAGGTAATTTTTAATGGTTTTGAAACCAAAAAGTGGTTTTTAACTTACCACAATAACTAAGTATACTTACTATTTGATGTGATTAGACTTACTATTATTAATAACTATACTTACCATTCAATTATTGATAAAATACGCTTAACCTGCTATTCAGGTAACAGGTAAACTTAAAAAATTAAGTTATAATAAATTTTCAAAATCTCTAAAATAAATATAAAATTTATAAAATAGAATTTAAGAAAAAAATAAACAAAATAAATTTGAATTCTAAATATTTTATTATAATTTATTACATTTTATGAAATATGATTTTTTATTTATTTATCTACTTAATAGCAATAAATGAAACCTAATTTCCTTTTCATTTATCACACTTGAAAATAATAAATGCAATTAATAAGAAATATAAGTAATCAAATATAGAAAAAATTATAATTTATTTGAGGGTTCCATGAACAAAATTTTATGTTTATTTTTAAATTTTTTGAATATTTGAAGATTTAAAGATAAGATTGTTGTTGATTTAGAACTCCTTAGGTAAGAATATATGTCTCTATCGTCTTTATCTCTTTTTTTACATTAACTTTCCATGATATTTTGAATTTATAAATTTTAATATTCTGTTGGAACAACATTTCACCTAGTTAAAAGAAAAATTATGAGATTTAAGTAGTAAAAAAAAAAAAAAAAATCAAGTTTGATGAAATAGTAAGTGCAATCTTAAGTTTAGTTTAAATAATTAATTAATCAAGTCTACTAAAATAGTAAGTAGAGTCCCATTGAGTAGTAAGTATTGTTTAAATGATGAGTCAAGTTTGATAAAGTAATAAGTAGAGTCTAATTGAGTAGTAAGTGTTATTTAAGTGATGAGTCAAGTTTAATAAAGTAGTAAGTAGAGTCTCATTGAGTAGTAAGTGTTATTTAAATGTGTAGTAAGTCAAGTCTGATAAAATAATAAGTAGAGTCTCATTGAATAGTAAATGTGGTTTAAATGAGTGGTAAGTAAGTCTGATAAAATAGTAAGTATGGTTTAAATGAGTGTTTTTCAATTTATTACAACAACAAAACACATTTACTACTTGATATAGTTGTAATTATTCCACATAACTACACTTACCATTCAAACATTAATAAAATGCACCTAACCTCTAAAATAAATATAAAATTTATAAACTAGAATGTAAACAAAAAAAATATATATATACAAAATAAATATGAAATTTATAAATTTTATTATAATTTTTTACATTTTATGGAATATGATTTTTTTTTATTTATGTACTTAATGGCAATGAATGGCAATAAATGAAACCTAGTATCTTTTTCATTTACCACAATAAATGCAATTAATGAGAAATATGATTAACAAAATATAGAAAAATTTTAAATTCATTTGAGGATTCCATAAACAAAATTTGATGGTCATTTCTAACATTTTCGAAGATTTTAAGATAAAATTGTTGTTGATTTGGAACTCCTTAGGTAAGTCTCTTTCTTTTTACTTTCACTTCCATTATATTTTGAATTTATAAATTTTTATGTTTTGTTGGAACAACATTTCACCTAATTAAAAGAAAAATTATGAGATTCAAGTAGTAAGGGAAAAAAAAAAAATCAAGTTTGATGAAGTAGTAAATGTAGTCTTAAGTTTAGTTTAAATGATTGATAAGTCAAGGATGTTCATTTCTAAAACTTTCGGAGATTTTAAGATAAAATTGTTATTGATTTGGAACTTCTTAGGTAAGTTTCTCTCTTTTTACTTTCACTTCCATTATATTTTGAATTTATAAATTTTTATGTTTTGTTGGAATAATATTTCAGTTAGTTAAAAGAAAAATTTTGAGATTCAAGTGGTAAGAAAAAAAAAAAATCAAGTTTGATGAAATAGTAAATGTAGTCTTAAATTTAGTTTAAATGATTGATAAGTCAAGTCTAATAAAGCAGTAAGTAAAGTCTCATTGAGTAAGTATTGTTTAAATGAGTGATAAGTCAAGTTTGATAAAGTAGTAAGTATAATCTTATTGAGTAGTAAGTGTGGCTTAAATGAGTAGTAAATCAAGTTTGATAAAATAGTAAGTAGAGTCTCATTGAGTAGTAAGTGTAATTCTGATAGAGTAGTAAGTATAGTCTCATTGAGTAGTAAGTGTGGTTTAAATGAGTTAAATATGATAAAATAATAAGTAAAGTCTAATTAAGTAGTAAGTGTTGTTTAAATGACTGATAAGTCAAGTTTGATAAAATAGTAAGTAGAGTCTCATTGAATAGTAAATGTGATTCAAATGAGCGGTAAGTCAAGTCTAACAAAGTACTAAGTATGGTTTAAATGAGTGGTGAGTCAAGTCTGATGAAATAGTAAGTGCAGTCTCATTGACTAGTAAGTGTGGTTTAAATGGATGATAAGTCAAGTTTGATAAAGTAGTAAGTAGAGTCTCATTGAGTAGTAAGTGTAATTCTGATAAAGTAGTAAGTACAGTCTCATTGAGTAGTAAGTGTGGTTTAAATGAGTTTAATTATCATTCAAAAACACAACATTTGCCATTCATTCTCATTCTACTAGCAACTCTTTGTGACTCGACTTACCACTTACCATCTATTTTACCACCTAGTATTTTACTTACCATTTTCTACTTGCTTTTTCTTAATTAATTTGTTTATGCTTATTGCAGATGGAAGACAACACTGAGCAAAACAAGAATAACATTATATATGAACTAGTTGATGATGACGGTAATGATGGTGAGTATAATATTCATAACGAAGATAATATCGTCAATTCTAATAATATTCCAACCGAAAGAGATATTAAGCATCTAGATGAATTAACTGAAAAGGATGTGTTTGAAATGACATTTGATTCAGAAGAAAACGGAGAAAGATTTTATAATTCGTATGCTAAGGTGAAAGGATGTGTTTGAAATGTTCATTTCTAAAACTTTTGAAAATTTTAAGATAGAATTGTTGTTGATTTGGAACTCCTTGGGTAAGTCTCTCTCTTTTTACTTTCACTTCCATTATATTTTGAATTTATAAATTTTTATGTTTTGTTGGAACAACATTTCACCTAGTTAAAAGACAATTAATGAGATTCAAGTGGTAAGAAAAAATAATCAAGTTTGATGAAATAGTAAATGTAATCTTAAGTTTAGTTTAAATGATTGATAAGTCAAGTCTAATGTAGTAGTAAATACGGTCTCATTGAGTAGTAAGTATTATTTAAATGAGTGATAAGTCAAGTTTGATAAAGTAATAAGTACAGTCTTGTTGAGTAATAAGTATGGCTTAAATGAGTGGTAAGTCAAATCTGATAAAGTAGTAAGGAGGGTTTCATTGAGTAGTAAGTGTGATTCAAATGAGTGGTAAGTCAAGTCTGATGAAATAGTAAGTACAACCTTATTGACTAGTAAGTGTGGTTTAAATGGCTGATGAGTCAAGTTTGATAAAATAGTAAGTAGAGTCTCAATGAATAGTAAGTGTGGTTTAAATGAGTGTTAAGTCAAGTCTGATAAAATAATTAGTACAACCTCATTGACTAGTAAGTATGGTTTAAATGGCTGATAAGTTAAATTTGATAAAATAGTAAGTAGAGTCTTATTGAATAGTAAATGTGATTATAATAAAGAAGTAAGTACAATCTCATTGAGTAATAAGTGTGGTTTAAATGAGTGTTAAGTCAAGTCTGATAAAATAGTAAGTAAAGTTTTATTGAGTAGAAAGTGTTGTTTAAATGACTGATAAGTTAAGTTTGATAAAGTAGTAAATAGAGTCTCATTGAGTAGTAAGTATGATTCAAATGAGTGGTAAGTTATGTTTGATAAAGTAGTAAGTACAATCTTATTGAGTAGTAAGTGTGGTTTAAATGAGTTTAATTACCATTCAAAAACACAACACTTACTATTCCTTCTCATTCTACTTGCAACTCTTTGTGATTCAACTTACCACTTACTATCCATTTTACCACATAGTATTAAGTGAAACCAAAATTGAGTAGTAAGAGTGAAGTGTAATGAAGTAATAAGTGGAAACTCATTGAGTAGTAAATGAAGTTTAATGAAATAGTAAGTGGAAACCGTTTTGATTAAGTAATGAAAACTCATTATGTAGTGTCTTATTAAATAGTAAGTCATTTTGATTACGTAGTAAGTGAAGTTTGATTGAATAGTAAGTTGAGTCTCTCATTGAATAGTAAATAAAGTTTAATTGAGTAGTAAGTCTAGTCTAATAAAATAGTAACTGAAGTCTACCTAAATAATAAGTGTAATTTAATTGAGTAATAAGTGGAGTTTTAATTGAGTATTAAGTCAAGTCTAATCCTAGACTCTTAGGTAGATAGAAGTTTGTTTTTCTCTCTATATGAAGACTTATACGTAGAGATTTTCTTTAGAGACTGGCTTCTCTCTAGTCCTCTGTCAGACTGGAGAGGTATTGTCCAGCCCAATAGACTAGTTTTCTTTGTATTATTTATCAATAAAATATAATTCTTTTGATATTTTAGTAAATATAGTAAGTAAAATTTAAAAAAGTAGTAAGTGAAATCTCGTTGACTAGTAAGTATAATTTAATAAAATGGTAAGTAAAGAATAATGAAATAGTAAATAAAATAATTATGATTTAATAAAAATAGTATGCAAAGAATAATGAAACAGTAAATAAAATCTATTTGAGTAATAATAAATGAGGTTTATTTGAGTGGTAGTCAAGTCTAATGTTTTATTGAGAAGTACTAAAATCTCGTAATAAGTCAAGTTTAATGGAATAAATCAAATATCATTCAAGAGTAAGTGTAGTTTGATTGAATAGTAAATCAATTTTGATAGAGTAGTAAGTTGTATATCATTTATAATTAGAAAAATGGTTGGGATTCTATTTTTTTGGAGCCCTCACAATCCTCTTTAAATTTCAACCATCGATGTATGTATAGAATTTACTCATGTATGTGTGAGGCTTACACTATCAATAATTGAGATCTAAAGGAGATTGTGGGATTTTCAAAAAAAGGTATCAATCATTGTTGTTATAATTATCACTTAATGTATACAAATCACTTTAAAAACAATGGATTTAATATATTTTTAATTTTTATAATCTGATTTAAATGTTACTTTAATTATTATTGCTTGAAATTCAATTTATTCGATCATATGAAAAAACGATACACATATCAACAGAATCAGTTTTCCATCTGCTACAAATATTTTTAAACTGAAATTATGTATGGATGTTGAAGGCTTTTAATGCCCCCTTTTGCATTCATCTTCCTCACCATTTTTGCAGGTTTGCAACCCTTATTTGTTTTCGAGTGGCTACTGCCATATATCATCAGTACAAGCAGAAGGTAATAAATCACTGTAACTCATAAACCCCAACAATCCACTAAACCAAAGAGTTAATTTATTTATTCTTATCCCAAATAATCTAAACAAAACAACTAAAAAAACCCACACAGATTCTATGAAAACACAGCCTTAAATTACAATGACAATCCACTGAAAGAGAGAAAATTAAGAAAAAATAAAATAGATTGATTTCCTCCTTTCTCATCAACTGAAAAAAAAAAATATTCATGAAAAACAGAGATGAAACTACAATGATAAGCAGAAAGAAATCCTCAGCAGATCCTTCGTTGTCGGCGAGAGTAAGCAGAAAATCCTAGCCGGAATGCGAAACACCGCCTTAAGACAAGAGAGGAAAGGAGAGATAAAAGAATGAGATTCGTTCATCAGATTGACAGGACTTTTCACCGGCTACCTGTTGTTTTACCTGTTGTGACCTGTTTACATTGGATGGTCTAGATTGCATAGCACAATCCAACGGCTAGAAATATTTTTAGGTATGGTACCCAAAAACCGCTTTTCTGTACTATAGTCGTTCCCGATAACTAGACATAACATAAAGAGAGACAAAGTTTCAAAAAACTAATCTAAGTACTCACATATATAATAGTATAGATGTTTGACATAATGCATTACGAAAATTAACAAAAAATATTTTGATCATAGAAAAAAAATAATTAAAGTTTACCACAAAAAATGTTTTCCGTTTGAAATAAAAAATATTCACCAAACTAAAGTTTACCACCACACTATTATCACCACCATTTGAAATATAAAAATATTTACCAAACTAAAGTTTACCATCACACCATCACCATCACGATCACGACTAATACATTAGTTTCAAAATCCCAATAGAAAATAAAATATTTTCTGTTAAAACGAACCAAGTATTAGACAATTTAAACTACAAGCAATTCATTCATATGTATGTTTCATATAAGCTACATATTCATTTGGCTTAAAAAATTCACAAGAATAGATTACACTGTTTGCATATCTAAAAATTTCCCAAATAGGAGATTAAATTGATGGGTTCCAAAGACTATAATTCTTCATTAAACCCTCCCCAAGTTCAGCAAATGCCAAAAGAAACTTCATAAAAACCATGCTCTGCTGTACAATGTGCTGCTAGTCATCTGACAGACTACTGATGCTCCTTCTCTCCTTTACGGTGTTGGAGACCAGCTTCCCCCCTTACTTTCTTGAAAAATCCTGTGTGTTCCAAAGACAAACGCTTTCACAGAAGGCTCGGCTGATAGTATCTCTTTCTTAATCTGTCATCAATAACCAAGTCTTCTACTCAATAAATAAAAAAAAAGACTGGAAAAAAAAATCATAAATTCATTAAATAGCTGGCACAGCATGCAAGATAAATTGACACTTGGAACTCAACTATACACCAGTTTTCTTATTAAAAACACATAAATCATAATCTGAGTTATGTTCAACCTATATTGTCCATGATCTTTATATCAATTTTTATATATTTATAACATTCAACTTCTCATCACCCATCTCATATTCAAATCCTTCGACTTCAAAAAATAGATAGCATAACTTTTAATTTTCCACAAAAAAGGGTGGGTTAATTTACCGATTGTTGGTGTTGCCAAGGTAAGAAGCAAGAATGGGTGAATCAAGTATAGACCAGACTTGCATTATTTCCACAAAACGGCTTCCCTCAAGCTCGTACCTACATTCTCATGCTTGACACCTGGGATTTTACCATTACGCTGAGCAACCATAATAACTTTTAATGCATGACTAATCTAATTTACATACAGTTCTGAGTTAGTTTAGCTGATGAGAAATGCAACTTAGTACCGTCGAAGTGCGAGATTTTCTATGACTGTTTCAAAACCCCAAGCAAAATCTAGCACCCACTGTGTACACCTGAGCTAAACAACATGAGAAAAGATAAAACTATAAACAATAAACAAAGGAATTCCACAGAAAAGTGGCAACTTTCAAAGATCTGAGAGGACACTACACACCATTTACAAATAATAATTTGCTTGTCATGTCCAAACAGAAACTCATCTTTGATGCAAGAGATACCAAAGATGCAAACACCTACATAAGCACACCTTCAAGTCAGATGTCTCCAAAATTAGACAATCAAAGAACAAATGATACACAATAAATGAAGTGAGTCCCATATATCCTACTTCATGCAGCTATTGTTCCCTGAGTAATAATAAAATACCTCATCATTCATTTATCTTTGTATCCTGTAATGTTTCACTAATGAAGAGGAAAATGTTAATAATATACACACACCTCAGAAAGGTATGCTTCTGCAAACAACCATGGTTGTCGAGATGCGGAACAAATTCCAACCATCAACAGCATAGGTTGGCATCAACTCAAAGCAAGATTCAGATTGAATGGTAAATAACCCAAATGCTTGTACATTGTCTCCAAAAGGCTATGAACATCTTCCATTTGTGGGTGTGTTTTCTCCCCTGCAATGAACTCATGAACAACCCCATTAACATCAACCGAGCTGCAGCCAGGTGTCTTCTCTATCCCTCGGCTTTTCATCATCTTCCTCATTTTTCTTGCACTGTCATGTTTACCAGCAGTTGAATATAGATTTGAGAGCAGAACATAGACCCCGCTATGGCGTTCCAACTGAACGAGTCTATCAGCTGCAATCTCAGCCAAATGAATGTTTCCATGACTACAAGATGCACTCATTAGTGCTCTCCAAGCCACCGCTTCTTCAGAGTGGCTGCTTGAAATGGGCATTCGTTTGATGATTTCCTTTGCTTCTTCAAGGAGCCCAGCCCGGCCTAGAAAGTCAATTATACACCCATAGTGTTCACTTTTGGGTTCAATATTGTACACATTACACATACGGCTAAACACCTTTAGGCCTTCGTATGCCATACCTGAATAACTACATGCAGTGAAAATAGCAATGAATGAAACATCATCAGGCTTGATTCTAGCCTTCTCCATCTCCGAAAACAATTGAAGAGCACGCTCTCCATCTCCATGCATTGCCCATGTGGAAATCATAGCATTCCAACAAATGGTATCTCTTTGTGGCATTTCATAAAACACCTCCTCAGCTAAATCCAAGTACCCACATTTAGCATACATGTCTATAAGACTAGTGCCCAACCGAACACTTAGTGGCAATTTGACAATATCCAAGTATCTGTGAACCCATATCCCAATAGCTAAAGCACCTAAATGAGCACAAGCACAGAGTATGCTCACAAATATGGCCTCATCGGGCTCAATGCCGGTAAACTGCATTAACCGAAACATCTGCAATCCCTCCTTAAAACGACAATTCTGCACATACCCAGATATCATTGAACCCCATACCCCTCTATCCTTTACAGGTGCTTCATCAAACAACAGTCTTGCTGAGTCAACATCCCCTGCTTTTGCATACCCAGAAATCAAGGCTGTCGATGACACAACATCGTGTCCAGGAACTTCAGCAAACACACATCTTGCTGCATTCATATCATTGAATGCAGAATACATGACAATCAAACTATTACCCACAAAAGTATCAAACAAAAATCCCAGTTTCAAACAATGCCCATGAATTGACTCCCCTAGATGGAAGCTTTTCATGTTTGCACAAGCCTTCAACACATAAGGCAATGTGTAATTATCAGGGCACATTCCATTTCTGAGCATATGTGTATAGATTTGTATGGTATTGAGTAGTTCACCCTTGAGCAGGAAAGCTTTTATCATTGTGTTGCAAATGCAAATTGTGGGTTGTTCAATGTGTTGAAAGACTTTCCATCCATAGGATAGGCTACCGTGAAGTGGGTCAGAGCAGAAAGCCAACAATCGGCTCAAGGCAAAGTTATTATCTCCAAGCCCGCACATGATTACTTGTGCATGAGATTGCTTCAACTGTTTCACATTCTTACATCTCTCCAATAATAACAGGCATCTCTTGCTACTTGTTAACATGCCACCGTCTTCATTTGATAGAAGTAGCAGTGTGGCATATAGTCAAAGAAAGGCTGCATATGAAACATAAAAGTCATTTAAACATAACATTTGACTTGCACAACTCTTTAAGAGCACTTGACAATATTTTTAAATTCCAATACGTGAATTGTAGTTGTTGGGTTCAAATAACACCTGATCAATTCATAACTAGTGTTTTGACATATGGCGCAATGGCCATTTCAGAAAGAAAAGTAAAAAGTTATTTAAACTAACAAATTTTATGATTGTCTTTTATAACTTGAGACTTGATTTCTTCCCCACTCTCTAAACAGCCGTGACGTGTTTAGCACAATCTCCATCTATTTGGATGGAAAATGTAACTATTTTTAAAGGATAAGGGATAAAGCTACTGGGCCATACCACAATGGGTAAAGTGGATATTGCCATTTTTTCACTTACTGATATGAAACTTATCATATTATTGAAGTAGATCCTATCTCAAGTTCTAAAATTTCATTATTGCATGATATGTTGGTGAATAAAAAAAGCTATTAAGATTTATTAATTGGTATAATATTTTTCTTTGAGCCCATTGATTAACGAAGATAGTATCGAAAATGCAAAAAAAGAGGAAAAAAATCTTAATCTTTTTGTCATTTGTTTAGAAATAGAATCCTAGAACGTGTTGGAGAGTGAAATTACCTGTACAACCCTCTTAAGCTTTTAAACTTATATTTAGTTTCCCCCAAAATATGCAGGGAAATTCTTGTTCTTGTTCCTGTTCTTCTTTTTTTTGAATCAACTAAAATATAAGAATTTTTAGCAACTTTCATGCTTTTCAAATTAAGAAACTAAAATTTTGCAATCATTTTCTTGCAAAATTTTCGTTCTAATCAAATGCATGCAAGAAAATAGTTCATTTCTTTTTCTTTTTCTTTCACTTAAATTTCTATCATTTTCACTTCCAATCATCATTTTCTTTCTACTAGTTGGACCCCCACGTGCTACGCGTGTGGGGGTCGTGTTACATTTGGAAAAAATACAATGTCATATTGATGGCAACACAAAATTGCTGCGAGGTTTACTTTCATTTGTTCTAGTTTCGTACCACCACTAATTACAAAACAAACTCTACCTCGAGGAAGCCGACTATTATCAGAAAACAAAGAGAAGAAATGTCCATATCTTTAAATTCAATGACTATATAGTGTTTATACATCTCATGCAACTGAGGATACATTGTGTTTTATGTCACATACTGTAAAAAAATAGATGTATTATTGATTGATATCTTGATGTTGTACAAGATTGTTGTATTGATGTATTGTATTACAAATCAGAGTGCATAGCCAGATCCAACGACTTTTTTTTTCGATGCTTCAAAAAAAACATCAATTTCTCTGCTCATAGGATAATTTCATAAATTGTGTTTGGTGCCAAAGTTTCAATCCTAACTTGAATAATAAAAAAGTGAGATGAAATCCTTAATGTTGAGAGAACATAATTGCTAATACACTAATACTAATTCAAGTAATATTGCGAATAAATGGCTCCACTACCAAATTAATGGCAATGTGTCAAGTAAAGAGAAGCAAGCATGACTATCATACCACAATAAAAATCAATGGTGATGATTCCCTCTGGCACAGACTTCCAAGGCTTGTAGTTGGAAAATGGTGTAAGGAAGCGTCTGTTGGAAGCGAATAAATAAAATCTATTTTAGAATTTAACTACACCTTCTTTTTAAAATTAAATAAAAAAATTAAACATTCCTTCAACATTGTCAACAGTTAAAAGTACTTAGATGTGTGTTAACAATAAAAAAAATCATAATAGTGGCAATGCGTTTGCTATTTGAAAACTGAAATATTGAAAATCATGAATCCAATTTATAACACCCCAGCCCAAACCCTACCAACCAGTAAGCCAGCCCCTCCCTACCCAACTCCACACTCCACCTCCCCCCATCTTGAATTCAATAATCCAAACCACAAACATTCCAAACCAATTCAAAACTCTCACTTCAAATGAAACTTTTCCCAAACCAAATCCATCAAAATCTTCTTATGCTGAGGACAAATTTCACCAACAAAAAACCAAAACGGACCAAGCAATACACATGCACTTTAATCTACATATCTTCTCGATGCTGCTTGTGAGATTGTCTCTTGGAGTATTTTTTTTGTTTTTGTTTTTGTTTTTGTTTTTGTTTTGGGGTTTTTACAAAGTTTTAGGGTGTATGTTCTCAACACAGTTAATTTATTTAAGCTTTTTTTCACATATTTGATGTCATGTCTAATTGAATGTGCTGAGGAAATGTTGCTATACGCTGAAAAGAATCCAAAGTAGTTACCAATGCACAATGATTGCAACTTCCACTTGCAATTTTCAATGCCATAACCACTTTTTTAAAAATTTATTTATTAATATATAACCATTACTTCTTTTTCCCTGTAACAATCAAATAGATTGGAAGTGCAAACGAACTGGGATCGCTTTTGGAGCTTGTATAACTTTTCTCTTTATGTATTAAAATTTGGGTTCTACTTGACCAATTGTCAAAGTTGTGGATTTGTTTGAGAGGCATATTTGAATTTGACCTTGTTTTCCAAACAGTACTACACTTTATTCATCAGCAGGATATGTAATCGAGAATTCTCTCCATATGAAGTTAGTCAACCTTGTCATCATTCATGTAGTTAATTAATGTTTAGTAAGCTTTCACATACTCAATGACCAGTGACCACTTGTTATTTTCTGTCAACTACTCTTTTTATATAAATTTCTGACTGAAGGAGCCAGCTAAAATTTTGAAAATCCAATGAAATCATATTGTTGATTAGAGTGGTAAAAAAATATTACAGGCAGGGAGAACAAACTAATAAAAAAGCAAGGTTTTCATCATCAACAAGCAATGAAAGTATGCTATTATTGGGTTGGGCATATTATCAAACACATGGTGAGCAGAAGATAAAATTCTAGCAGAACAACAATACAAAGACAGCACATAGGCTGAGCCAAATATTAAATTGAAGTGGCAAGGCAACAGAACAAGGAAATCACAAACATACATACTGCCAAACAAAGCACCCAAAAAAACCTAAGAGCTTTCACCAAGAACCCAATTAAAATATCATAGTAGGCAAAGAAGGAAATGCCATACCTGGTTATTCTGTTTGCTGCAGATAGTAGATTCAGCCCACACAGTGGTCACCATACTAGGGGGGGAGGAAGATAAAGGGAGCCTTTTTCATCAGAAAAAACCAAGGCCCTATACAGGTGAGTTCATTGGAGCTGTTTATATGTTATAAGTATGCTATTATTGGGTTGGGCATATTATCAAACACATGGTGAGCAGAAGATAAAATTCTAGCAGAACAACAATACAAAGACAGCACATAGGCTGAGCCAAATATTAAATTGAAGTGGCAAGGCAACAGAACAAGGAAATCACAAACATACATACTGCCAAACAAAGCACCCAAAAAAACCTAAGAGCTTTCACCAAGAACCCAATTAAAAGATCATAATAGGCAAAGAAGGAAATGCCATACCTGGTTATTCTGTTTGCTGCAGATAGTAGATTCAGCCCACACAGTGGTCACCATACCACGGGGAGAGGAAGATAAAGGGAGCCTTTTTCATCAGAAAAAAACCAAGGCCCTATTTGGGTAAGTTCATTGGAGCTGTTTAATATATATATATATATATATATTCATTCAATTTCATATTAATTTGTTTTTACAGTTTCTATTACTTATAGATATTAATATTAAAAAGTAAAAAAGATAACTTTTTATTTTTTTATTTCTAAGTAATAATTTTCAGCTTAAGAAAATTATTAGCCAATTGTCAACCAAATCAATTCTTGTTGTTTGAAAAGTTAATCAGAATCAATCGTTTTGTCAATTTATTTATAAATAGGATTATAAACTAACCAAATTATTTGCAATATTGATTAAAGTTCATTAAGTAACAAATAATTTTGATTTAAATTTTTTGAATCATTTAATAAATCAATCAAGTTCGAACTCGAATAAGTTCCACTCTTATGACTATGTTGGGCATAAATTTTTTGGGTTAAAATAATCAAAAAATGACAAAATAAGTTAAAAAATTAATGAGATAAAATATTACACAAATCATAATTATTTCATTTTTTTTTTTTTACAAAAGTAAAAAATTTCATCTCAAAACGAGACTTTTTAGTTTCAGACTAAAATAATTAAAAAGTCAAAAAGCCAACCTTCGTCCCAAACGATGGCTATATCCTTAATATAAAAACATGTATAAATGGTAACAAAAATATATGATTTATATATTAGGTAATATACATAATATTTTTATTTAAATAATATAAATAATAACAAAAAAAAATCTCAATGAACTTTGAGTAAAGTTCAAATTTAATTAATATTAATGATTGAGCCGACCTTAAACTCGATTAATTATCTAGTAGAACTCAAGTTAAATAATTTAGCTTAATAAATAAATGAGCTGTACTCAAATTTGGTAAAACTCAACTTCAGTCAGTTTGTTTGTAACCCTATTTATATGTGGTTTAAAAAAAAAAGGCAAATTATCTACACCTTCTTGAGATTTAGTTAAATTACAGATTCTTTCTAAGATTTTAGAAATTACATTTCGCCCTCCAAGATTTATATTCGCATAACAATTTAACTCCTACTGTTAACTAAACGTTTAGAATAGTTAGCTGACATCGTCAAAATATAAATTGATGGACGATATTACTCTTGCTATAATCCCTTTGATAAATCACCAAAATTTAAAAAGAATTACATTAGATGAAAAGAAAAAAAAAATTAAAAGTTTTTTGAACCATATTTGATTTGTTGTTTAGAAAAAAAATTTAGAATTTTTAAAATATAAAAACTAATTTAATAAAAATAAATATGAAAAAATATATTTAACTTGTAAAAATTATTTCTAACCACTTAAAAGATAAAATTATATAAAAATAATAATTATTTTTTATTTTTATTTCTTAACCAATTAATTTTTTATTTAAAAAAAATCAAAAATAAAATTTTAAAAATCAAACTAAACATATTCTAAGAATTTGTTGACAAGTCATTTCTAGTGTTTTTAACTTACTTAATTATTTGTCAATTTTATGATATTTTTACCATCTGAAACTACAACATATAAGAGTTTTAGAGACCAATTTTTTTTATCTCTAAAAGTGAAAATTTTGTTGCAAAAGACATATAGGGACTAATTTATATCGTCGTTAGGATAGTCGCTAAAAAGTCGCCCTACAAGTAAAAAAAAGACTTTTAGCAATAAAATTTCAAACATGTCAATAATAAATAGATTTTTAGGGACAAAATAATTTGGTCTCAAAATAGTTTATTTTTTAAGACAAAAAAAATTGATACCAAAAAGATAATAATTAATTGCTAATGTTCAATTTTCGTTGCTAAAATATAATGACGACACTTTTCGCAACAAAAATATTTGGTCTCCTAAAAATAATTTTGTCTTTAAATTTTGGTCTTTGAACCTTAATTTTTTGTAGTATGATAATTGTTTTTCTATTTTAATTTTGCATTTCATAACTTATTTAAAAATGAAAATTTAGCTAAACCTCGTGGGGGAATCTGTAATTTATCTAAACCTCAAAGGGGTGTAGGTAATTTGCCTTTATTCGTCAAAAGAGTATTTTAGTCAATTTATGATATCCGTTAACAGCGTTAATTGTGATGGGGCGAATTGAAATTTTTGAAACCTCAGGAAGAAATCTGTAATTTCGTTAAACCTTAAGGGAGGCGTAGGTAATTTGCCAAAAAAACAAAATAAAACAAAAATTCAAACCCTAACTATAATGTTAGGGAGCTTCTATTTCCACACACCAAATCTTCTTTGTGCACATGATTTGTCAAAATACACACTTAATGAATTTGAAATTCCATTTTTTACTCAATGCACAACTTATTATACCAAAAATATCTCATCTTATTCATTTTTCAACCCGTAATCTTAACCATAACTTTTACCATTCTTCATTTATCATCGGCCAACCAACCACTACCTCCTCAGTAGAAAATTGAAACTGCCACCGTAATTTCCATCCCTCCACTATCCCCAACCACCATTACCAACCCATTATACACCATTCCAATTCATCTCATGGTATCAAACTATAGTTGGTTAGCTATGTATTCAATCCATTAAACATAGCAATTCGTGAGATTTATTAAATCATCCCGTTCAAATAAGAAGATTGAATAAATAAGTAAATTACAAAAGTCACAAAAAATTTATTTCCACGGAACTATTATTTGCATAAACACTGTACTTCAATTTATGTTTTCTCAAATGGATAGAAGTCTTAAGTATTTCAGGTTACTAATCTATGCACTTGAATTCACTCCAGAATGAAAAAGAACTATTTTAAAGTTCGAATGACAAAGGAGATTGTAGAGGTGGCGAGGAGTATCGTCAGAGATGAAATGAGGATGATGGTGACAATGGCAGTAGTGGTGGAAAAAATTCACCAGATGTGGAAAGCATGATTAGGTTGATCAATGAGAAGGCCAACGAATTAGGATATCAGTTGAAAAAATAAGAATATTTTAATATTTTTATTTTAAAATAAAAATGTAACATAAAAAAGATTAAGCGTGTAGAGTGAAAAGATTTGGCGTGTAAATAAAATTTCTCAATGTTATTCAAAAGACCCAACAGTTTTGGGTTAAAATTACACCGACAATGTTACGTAGCTCAAATTTTGTGACTTAAAACTGGCTCAAATGGCCAAAACGATGTCGTTTTGAGTACATAAAAATGGCCAAAACGACGTCATTTTAGTCATTTGAGCCACTTTTAAGCCACAAAATTTGAGCTACCAGACATTTTCCAAATTACACTCATAACCAAACACCTCCCAAGATTCGCTCTCGCTCTCTCTCTCTCTCTCTCTCTCTCTCTCCGTGACCTAGACACATAACACCGCTCCGAGAGCACAAACAAAGCTGTCTCTTCGAATCTTCTGAAACCATTCTTGCACTCCCAAGAAACACACACATCCATGGAAGAAGAAACTAATAAGCCTGCCCAAACTACACCACCACCAACCCAAATCCCAGTTCCAAACACACCCCAAAACCTCCCTCCTCAACCTCCTCCATCCACGGAACAACCTCAACCTCCCCAAACATCTCAAAACCCAGATCCAAACACAACCCAAAACCCCCCAAATACAAACCCACCAAACCCATCTCAAAATCTCACTCCTCAACCAATGGAAGAATCTGAAACTGCCCAAACTACATTACCTACTCAAAACCCAATTCCAAACCCACCAAACATAACCCAAAATCTCCCTCCTCCTCATCTTCCTCCTTTGCCTCAAAAGAACAACAAGCGACCTCTTGACCAAAATGGGCATATTCAGAACTCCAAGTACTTCAAGATGCGAGCTGTTCTGAAGGACCTTCGTCCCCATTTCATTGAGGTAATAATATAATTCAATTCTTTTTTGATAAAGTTTCCATTTTGTGTTGAAAATTTCATATTTGGGTTTGTTTCAAATGGGTTGAGAATGCAATTGATCTGTGGTTACTGGAAATTTTTAATTTGGTTTTTGTGTGATTCTATTTTGGGGATTTTTGGTTGATGCATTGATTTTTTTTTGTTTTTTTGGGCTTGTAGGATTAATTAATATATTTAGTGATTTCATTTATGGGTTTTCTTTTTGCAACATTATGATATACTCTTTTCAGTATATTAATTTGTTCACTCAATTTTTTTTGGTATTAAAAATTTCATATATTGGTTTATTTCTAATGGGTTGAAAATGAGAGTGGCTGTACTGTTATTAAATGTCAGATCTTGTGGCTGCTGGAAATTTGTTATTTGATTTTTGTGTGATTCTATTTCTGGATGTGTTTGGTTGATGCATCAGTATTAATGTATTTATTCAGTGATTTTTATTTCTGGGTTTTCTTTTTGATACATTATGATCTTCTGTTTTTGCTATTTGAGTATATATCAGCAGTGCAAGTGGAATTCATTTGGTGGGTTATTTATTGATACATTTTAATGATAACCAAATCATTTCTTCTATAGTTTTACCTTATTTTACATGTTGACAATCTCAGTTGGGTTTTAGGTTTTAGGTTTAATTCATTGCATGTTCTAATAATGGGGTGTGACTAAATTAAATTTCTTTTATTTCTAAAGGAATTGGACAAATTTACTCAGGTTTGGGTCCAGGGATTTCATGTAGTTTAAAAAAGTTGTGATGAGAATTGTATTTCTTTGGTCCTTCCTTGCAAGCTTCAGTTTCTTTCTCACATGATCTTTCATATCTTATTGTCCAATCTCTGTTAATATGTTTCACTGTCCTGGGTTTTTCCTTTTGTTCTCTGCTTGTTTTTTTGCAATTTGTTTTCATTAAATCTAACTGATGTTTTGTAAAATGCAATTTGTAAAGAGTCTAAGGACTGTTAAGATACAAAGGCTGGACTTGTTGCTCTTCCTGCCAAAGCAGTGACCCAAATATGATGTGACCAAGACAAAAATATTACGTGGCAATATAATGATTTGCCATCCTTGTAGTAAATTTTGTGGCTTAACCACATTTTTGTTGGAGATTTGGCTAGTTAGAGGGTGGGCTGGGTAAATCTCAATTGGATCTTGGCATTATGGTTGCTGCATTCTAGAAATTGCAGGTCTTTTCTAGCAATTAGAGTGGCACTGTAGTGGTCTGTTAGATCTCCACAGAACGAGGTGGGTAACGTAGCAAAGAGAGGGTCTACAAAGAGAATTTATGCATCCCCTTTATGCCATGTTTGGTTTGGGGTTATGGGGTGTTTGCAATGTGAGGTTAAGGTTACATAACTACATTTGATTGGTTGCGTAGTGGGAATTTCTGTTTGTTACTCTTTACATATATAATTATATATATATATATTTATTAATTTTTTTCCTTTGAAGGATACCTTTTCTATGATTTTTCTTTAATAATTATTGTTTTTGTTATAAAGCACGTGAAATGGACTCTTAACTCCAAGAATGAGATACAATTTTTGGGTGTAGTTGATTATTATTTGATCTCTACAAGTGTAAGACTAAAATAGAGATTGAGTTTCATAGCTCTTCAATGTAAGAATAGAAATTGAGTTTTGTAGCTCTTCAATGTAAGAATGGGTGAGGAAAAAAGCAAAAGAAAGAAAATAAAGAGATTGGGGTCTGGATGTGTTTTAAGCTACCTGTCAAATCCGGGCTCCTTTTTCTAACAATTGAAAAAATAAACTGCCTGATGCAGCTGTGAATTGCACTCCAATCAACTTATTGGACCATAGTTGTTATGATCTTTTGATGGATAAATAAGGACGTTATTTAACGGTAGTGACAGTTGACTGATTTTCTAACTATAGAATAAGATGCAAAGTTGGTTTTCACACTTGGGAATGTGAGGACAATGTGTGATGAATAGCTGACATGTGCAGTAAATCATTGTCCTTAGCTGTGAAGTTTTTGCACTGGGCTATCCATTAACCAGGATTGGTCATCACATAAAGTCATTTGGCAATGGCCATTAATTTCTGGTTACTTGTACTAAACCTGATGGGACCAAGTACAAATCATTGTTGTTTTTAACTGAAGTATTAATTATGCGACTGTTATTTGTAGTGCTGCCATAGAAGAGGATATGCCTCCCAAGGAAATCATACTAAAGATAGAAGAAATGTATTTCTTATGTGATAACCAAGAATTACCCATAGTTTAATTTGATTTGACTGCTAAAAATTGAAACTTGATTTAAATGGTTTGACTGCTTAAAAAAAAAAGTTTTGTTGATAAGTAAATGGTTTATTATACTTTATACCCTTAAACTATCGCCAAATTGTCTATTTAGTTCCTAAACAATTAATTGTGTCTACTAGGTTCTTAAAGTATATAAATCATAGTCTATTTAGTCCTTAAACTATCGATTGAATCCATTAAGTCCCTAAAGTATTTAATTCAAATTTATTTAATTCTTAAAAGGATTACAAAAATAAAATTTAAGTCTGTAAATATTATAAATTAATAAAAAATCATATGTAGTTAAATTTTTATTTCAAAAAAATTTAAAATTTTTATTCAGTCTTTGAAAAGTGGGCGTTAATCCATATATTGAATTCCCTTTTTAAGGATAAGGGTAATTATTTACATTATTTTCTTACTTATCTTCTACAACGGATGTGTGCTTGCTTTTATCTAGTATTACATGCCAAATTTCGTTTATAGTTTTAATTGACTGTTTTTAAGTTTTTCACTAAATTTTTTTTATTGCTTAATTAATGTATTATTTTGTTCTATTACTATTTGTAGAGAAAATTTATTATTTAAATTATTTAATTCTACTTTTTTCGATGTATCTAATATTCATATAATTTATTGGCAAGACTGAAAAATCAGACTTTAATATTAATTTAAACACATAACAAAATAAAATACTTTTTCAACACAAAATAAAAATTTAGAAGATTTTTTTTTTTGTTGGTACTAAAATCTTGATTGGGGAGGGTTTTTTACTAAATTATAATACTATGCATATATTTTATTTTTATAATTCTTTTAGGGACTAAATAGATTTGAATTATATATTTTAGGTATTTAATAGATTCAATCAATAGTTTAGGGATTAAATCGATTTTTATTTATATACTTTAGAGACTAAATAGATTCAATCAATAGTTTAGGGATTAAATAGACAATTTGACAATAGTTTAGGGGTAGAAAGTGTAATAGACACTTAAATTAGTAAATGAATGACTGGTTGGAAACTTGGGTCACTTGAATTGAGCTTTTGATCAGGTACATAGGTATCTCTAGATGCACTTAGATCTTATGGGAAATAGAGAATGACAAATAGAGTGGTGCAGTATTCATATTTGAAGAATAGTATAATGTTACCCTTGATGACTTTGATACTACTAATCTTAAATTGAAATTTCCTACTTCTTTTTTACTTGAATTTTTAGTTTGAAGGCCTGAGATATTTTTTGTTATCTTGAAGGTTCTCCGGACTCCTGTCTTTCACAATTGCAAGGCAGCTCATGAAATTCGAGAACGTAAGCTTTTTGATATTTATTTAGCTCTTGACATAGTTTGAATAAGTATATATATATGCTTGTGTTCTGTTTGGTTATTTTTTTGCTCTTTTGGCACATATGATTTTGTATGTCTGACAATGTATTGGTTAACTCACACACATCAAGTTCTCTCTGTTGTGTGACACATATTGTTGGATATCTTATATCAGCGTTAGGCACTAGCATCCATATTAAGTCCTTGGTACGTGGCCAATGAAGTCCAAAAAGAAAATACGTCGATAATAGTAGGCTCACAGTTCACATGTAATACTTGACACTTTAATCAACATCTGACCTTTTACATACTGAGTTGTGTAATCTGCTTTTTATTTTGTAATTTCGGAAAACATGAGAGAAAAAAATGATGTTTTGGAGATACAACAAGGGGGCATCCTATGGGTTCTTTTTCTTTCCTATGAGAAAATATGGAACACAGTGTATCAATCGTCTTTGTCTTAGTTACTCTCAATTCGAACTTCTTCCTCTCATTTCTTTATTATTAATTTCCTTGATAGCATTCAAATTTTATATTATTTGAACATGATTTTTTGTCCAGTTACTTCATCTAGGACATAAATGAGCCTTTATTTTTGCCCCACATCTTGTGGGTTTATAAAAAGGGTTTGTTCTTACATTTATTTGATGTTTCTGCATAATTTTGCAAGCTTTGCCTTTTTTAAGGAGCTCAGAAATGCTTTTTACATCCAATTCATATGCTGGTTCATTCCTCAAGGTGGTTCTCATCCTCTGTTTTCTAGTGATGATTATGTCAGAATTTCATTGAGTTATTTGAGGAATAGGTTCTATAATAATATTCGGAATGAAACACTGTTTTCACTTAAAAGGAAAAAAACAATTCCCAACTGCTTGAATCGGCTGCATGAATCCTATTTGGCTATTGGCCCAATTTGGCTTGGTTGGTTGTAATGCTCAAGAATTTTCACAATCTTTGGCCAACTGCTTGAATTGGCTGCATGAATCCTATTTGGCTATTGGCCCAATTTGGCTTGGCTGGTTGTAATGCTCAAGAATTTTCACAATCTTTGGCCTTTGTATTAACCCCATTTCTCTTATTGGAAACCTGTGCAAAGCTCTTCACCCTACGATCCTCTCCTTCACATTGGAGATCTCTTAAGTATGGTTGTCTTTTTAGTATCCACAATTCTTGTATTTTATCTCGGTTATACGTAATTGAATCCATTTAGGGCCGGTAATCATAGTACCAAGTCTACTTCATCATAAGGTAAAAGAACCATGTCTCCCATGTGTGGTTCAGATTGTTGGCTATGAAGCACATATACTTCTAAAAGGGAGTTGTGCTTGTATTGTACCTGTATTGGATACCAATGCTCCTCAAATATTTGCGGGTACATACCCTATACTTGATGGTAATTTTGAGAATTATAGGACACTTTTGGACATTTTAGATCACGTATCCAAACTAATATGAATTGAGATTGTAATAATTTTTGCATAATATTAGAGTATAATTGCTAGATTAAATACAAGAACAGCTTTTCAACATTTGCTTAGTTCTTACCAAAGAAGAAAATAGTAAGATTAATGTAGTATGCTACTTTTTTAGATTTTATCAAATTAACGTATCCACTAAAAAACAAAAAAAGAAATAAACCAGCTATTGGCTCTTAAACTAATATCTAATTTCTAAAGAACGGTTCCTCATTATTCTTTGAGCTCATGTATAATATGATATTAAAAATTATAAATTGTTTTCAACATATCCTAGTACCCATATCGCTATCGTATCCCGTATCCCGTATCCATATCCATGCTTCATAGATTGTTGGTCAAAAGGCAATGCATCTGGCCTCCAAGTTTTTTGGATTTTGTGTGTTTGTGCCATTTTATGATCCATGGACTTGTTGGCATAACATATTCATACATAATTATTACTATTATGAGAAAGAAGAAAAAATGTTTTGATTCATGAGATGTGATTATGGTACTGGTAACTTGCAGAGATGAAGCTTTTGATGGATCTATACAAAGAGATGACGGCAGAAACAATCTCCACAGACAAGTTTAAGAATGTTCCGGAAGGTCCTTTGTCGGGCGAAATCCAATATGGGCAAAAGCATAATCACCAATACGCTAAGCCGACTGAGCAGCCTTCGGCCCCTGTCCTATTGGGAACTATATCCGACAAGCAGACTCAAGGGACTTACATTGTCGGAGGATCGGCTTTTGGTTGGAATTTTGTCACTTACCCTGGTAGCAAATCAGTCTACTATGGCAGAACTAAGGAAATGTTTAGGTCTGCAAATGTAGTAATTCCTCAAGAAAACCCCAATTTGACCTAGGATTCTCTCTCTCTCTCTCTCTCTCTCTCTCTCTCTTCACCCCTGTTGAGTGTAAGACTATTAGTTCACCCCATGTTATATAGATGGGGATTTACATAGGTGGTTATATCATCAACTGTAAGGGGGTGGAAATTTGTATTGAAATCAATGTTGAAACTGGTTTTAATGTTCAGATCAGGTTGTGTTGTCATGTTGCCTAATTGGTTGCTATGTTCTCATTTCTTTCAATTTTACTTGTGAGGAAATAACTGCTTGTTTGGATGGAAATTTTAGGAAAAGAAACTGAAAATGGTATGTAATTAAAGAATTTTCATATGCCTAAGTGCTCAAGGTTGGTATGTTTGACCGGCTTCTTACAGAAAGTATGTACCTATACAAAACGAACAGTAATTTACTTTCCGTTGGTGTTATTTCTAGGATTCATGTTTTGGAAAGTCTTGAGGCTCAAAAGGCCTAACACAGAGGGTAACCCCGGAGCTAGACCCTCCAAGGGTTTACCCACTGGTGGTATACTACATACCGGCTTTACACCCACACTCCAGGCACTAGATATGGTTTGTTTAGGTTTGAAAAACATATCTCCTCAGCCAATTGTAGTGATGCCCAAGAAGCTAGCTCCATGGCTCATTGTACTAATGTCTGAGAGGCTAGCCACACGACTCAATCGGGAAACCTCAGGATCAATATTAAAGTACCTATTGCTAAGCTAAACCCTAGGGTTCTTAATGCTTAATCAAGCTTCAAGTTCAAGGTGGCTACTAGAAGCAATGTTTTAAGAATTGGACCAGACTGGCCAGTTCAACTAGTAAAATTGGACCTAGTTCCGGTTCAAATGATCCACGAAAACCAAACTAGGCCAAAACTGGCCTTGTTTGAAAAAAAGAAAATTTGACTACAAACCCCTCTTATCTTCTTTTTATTGTTAAAAAGACCAAGAAAAAAATTATACTTTCAAAACCCCCTCATATAAAGTCTTGTATAAAGGACAAAATTTATTATTTAAATATTTTATCGGATTATTATACCCTCAATTAAATCTTCCCACCATCTACTTCTACATCACTTTGTCTCTCTTCCTTCACCTCTATTCAAGCTGCAGCAGAATCCATAGTTGAACTTGAATGAACAGAGATAAGCGATCACAGATGACGGAAAGATTGGCAAATCGTTAATTGATTTGAGCCCTAATTTGGAGATCATCAATTGATTTGCAAATCGTCACACATCTTCATTCAATTTGTGTCCATTCATTCGATCCAGATCTATTAACCTTCTTCGTTTTCCATTCATTTGCATCTCTTCTTCTTTGATTGATTGCCTTTTTCTTCTCTCTCTTGAATCTAGACTGCATCTTCAAAAGGCTTTTAACGGTTATATTTAAATAGATTAAAAAAAAAATGAAAATCGAGAATTTAGGGTTTGAGATTTGAGATTGTTTTCCATTAATGGTGGATTTGAGCAAGTTTTTTATAATTGTTATAGGTTAAAGATCCTCTGCCACCTATGGTGGTTGATTGTTGCGAAGTGATCTCCGATGGCAAAAGTGAAGAAAAGAAGTTGGAAAGGGAGATTGTGCTTGGGAGCTTCTGGTCTTTTGAATCTGGTCTCACAGCTTTTGTTTGGTGTTCAATCACACTATTTGTATAGATAAAAGGCTGTGATTTATTCAAAAATTTGATCCGTTTATTTTCGATCTTCTCAAGTTCTTTTTTTTTTAATTATTATTATTATGTAAGTTTAAATCATTTTTTGTTGTTGTTGATGATGATGAAGAAACATAAATTTTCTGTTTGGTTCCCAAGAGAATGAGGGAAAAGTTGAGAAATTGATCATTTAAACATCAAAGCAACAGTGAGGATAAGACTATATTTGGTTTTCTTGTTATGTTTCTGTGTTTTTCTCAGCAACCAAACATGCAAGGTTATTAATACATGATACTTAGTGTGATTCAAAGTGGATACTCTCCTTAAATCATAGTAAAATTATACTTTCAGAGTACAATTTTACTCTGAATCAGAGTAAAGTTTATTATGATTCAAAATAAAATTTTGCTCTAGTTAAAAACATGTTGATTTGCTAAACGATATAAAATTTTACTTTGAATCATAGTAAACTTTAATTTGATTCAGAATAAATACTCTGAATCAAATTAAAGTTTACTATGATTCAAAGTAAAATTTTGCTCTGAAATATACTGTAGGAATGACTTAATAAGAGAGTTGATAGATATGAGGGTAGTATAGTAAATGAAATAAGTTTTAAAATATTATGGGGTTTTGAAAGTACCTATATAATTCTTATCATTTTAAAAGACAAATTAGACAGTAAAGGGTCTATCACCAAATCTCCCTTGAAAAAATCGGAAAAACCGGTGAACCGGCCGCAGTTCTAGACCAACCCACTGGTTTTTTTTTTATTTTATTTTATTTTTCTTCTTTTCTTGGAATTATCATCTATATGTATAGGCTTTAGAGTATACTTCTATGCATCCTTTGGCATGCTTTGACAGTAGCCTATTGGCTTGGAATTATCATCTATATGTATGGGCTTTAGAGTCTGTTTCGTTATGAGGGAGAGTTGAAAATTTCATTTTCCTCCAAAATTAAATCTAGCATTCAATCAATTTGTTTGGAGGCAATGCTAATTTTTTTTTTTAATTTTTTTAAAATTAGTGGCTTTTTTTTTTATTATCAATTGTGACTTTATTAAATATTATTAGTAAATATTATGCAACACATTTTTTTATTATTTCAGTAATTATATAGTTTTTTATTCATTTATAATTTATAATTATATTTTTAATTATATAATATTAATTATGACGTCATGGTTCGACCGCTTCAACTCGATGGTTGAACCAGTGACCTATCCACCGAGTCCCTTTTCTGGTTCGCTCACCGGTCCGATTTTCAAAACATTTTAGAAGTTTGTAAATGAACTGCTTTAATTAAAAATTAAATTGAACTCAATCTTTATACCAAATTAGAATTGGCTAAACTTATTTAGGGTTTTCTTTTCAGTTTGGAAAACAGTGAAACTTCGGAAAACATGATCTTTATATATGTCAATTTGCATATATTTACTGAAACAATAAATGGTACCTCTTTTCACATTGGAAAGAGATTGTTAACTATATATATAATTAATGGAACATTTGCAAACACGAAGGGTCCATAGCTCAGTGGTAGAGCATTTGACTGCAGATCAAGAGGTCACCGGTTCGAACCCGGTTGGGCCCTTTTTTGTTTTTTGTTTTTTTGTGCTTCTAATATTACTGTTGTTTAAATTTTGATTTTGCTTCAATTAAGTCTCTCAGATAAATTGGTGTTGCTACTAATGCAATTTGGACCTTTTTTCATTTATTTTTGCTTCTAATATTACTGTTGTTTTGATTTTAAATTTTGCTCTGATTAAGTCTTAGATAAATTAGTTTTGCTACTAATGCAATTTGGACTCGAACAAAGTAATAATGAAATGTTTTTACTGTGTTTTGAAGTTGCAAATCTATACTTGTTTGCCAAAAAAAACTGGAAAAGAGATAGCTCTCTTACCATCAAAACTGATGCTAAAAGATTTTGAATATGTTATTACAGGAAAACCTAAAAACCAGTTCCATACTCATCAAAAGAAAAAGGGCAGCCCCAAGTTAGGCAGTCACCATTGTTTGCTTTTGAAGGAAAAGAAAATAAGAAAAGGCACCAGATGAGTGAATGCTTGCTAGAAACTAGTTGTAGACCAGAAGCAAATGGGAAAAGACACCAAATGGCCAAAGTGCAAATTGGAAAGCATATAATGAGAGCATAAAACTGTATTGATCAGATCTTAAATTTGTGGAGGGAAAAGAGGATAGTTGTGTTTTGATTTTTTTTGGTTCTGATTTTTGTGTTTTTAAAAATAAATCAATGAAAAGTTTGAAAACACCTATCATTTTCATTTTGTGGAAAAAATACTTTCGAATATACAAAACAAACTTTTTAGTATTTCCTAAAAAAATTCAGAAACTATTTTCGAAAACAGTTCATCAAACAATGTTTTTCGGCAACCAGGGGGGGATAAGAAGAGAAAAAAAACCCTAAATCCAATATCCAAAATCACCCTAGTTCATTCCTCTTTTTCTTTTCCTTTTCGTTTCCTTTCCCTATTCGTTTCCCTTCCACAAATCTAAGACCCAAACATAACCTAAATCTCATCCTTGGGTGAAAGTTTCAGTACACAAATCCAATCAACTCTCAAAATAAATTTCAAGGTCTACGCTAAAGTATCCTCTACATAACTAACATTCAGAAATGGCACTGCAAACCTAGGTTTTGACCATCTCAAAACCAAGAAGATGGAGAAAAAGAAAACCAGTAAATTTCACACTTTATTGACAATTTCTGGGAAATCAAACAAAGCATTACATCAAAATTGTAAATACACGAACACAAAGTACCAAATAAATCGTTATAACTTCCAAAACAAATAAATGTAACTATCTGAAGGGCGTGAAAATCGGTCAAACTACAACTGTGAACAAGAAATGAAGAACGATAATTTCGTAATGATTGTTGAATAGAATAAAGCTCCGGTCAGAGCAAAAACCTTTCAAGACGTGCCAAATAATGATCTTCACAAAGGAAGTGAGGCAAAGCGAGCAAGGCAGAAGATTTACATATCTGTACATCATTTCGTTACTGTCAAACACTTTTGCTCCTTCTGGCTTCAAGAGCTGAACCATCCTTAAGGGCTATATGTGCTTCATTTTCCATTTTAAGGGCGAAAAGTGCAGAGGCTTGTAGATAAGACGGTACGTGCCAGGCTGGAGATATGATTTGGGCTTGCATTGCATCCTTCAAAGCTTCCCGTGGCGAGTCGCTCATGAGATAAGACAAACTGCGGTGAGCAAAAACTGTTGGTGACCCTACTATTCCTGCTTCAATAAACTGCAAGTAGGAAAATAAAACCGTTATTAGGATTCCAGCATTCACTCAGATTTTCAAGAATGTAACCAGTAGATTATCACAGTTTTCCCATAAACTGCCACTATTTCTGAATTACCTGAGACAGGGATTGTTTTAGTACAAGGAACATGATCACGAATGTGGTATGTCACATTAGACTTATTTGATTAGACTAATAGAATTTAAGATACTTCTAGGGCTCTAAGCATTAGACATCCAATAAAATGTTACCCTTTTTTTTTCCTTTCAAATTAATCATGTTACCACACACATGTATGAGCATTATGACCAATTTTTTACCTTTTGTCAACCCTACTCTCCTAAAATTTTAGTTTATTATATTTGATTTGTTTTTCCCCTTTATGGTAACTTTTAAGGTTTATAGTGGAAAATATTGTTAAAATCCACCTACTCTCCACCTACTTCACCCACTTAAACCTACTCCACTAAACCTAACCCACTACACCACTACTACCTCACCTACTCCACTAAACCTAACCCACTACACCACTACCACCTCCACTTCACCTACTCCTTACCTACTACACACTCACCCTCTTCTATATATAGGAATCATGAATCATTGTAATAGATATCAATATATATCAATCAATAATACAATTCTCTCTATTTCTCTATACATAATTAATTCTCTCTATTTCTCTTTATACATTAAATTTCTACAAATATTTTTTGAATCGCTTTGATAGCTAAATTCATTGTTTTGGAAAGAAACTGCACCATGCTTTGGAATGTGCATTCCAAAATGTAAATCGTTTTTACAAGGAAACACTCCCAAACATTACTTGGACAAATTGTTATAATCATCTCAGTAATTCCCCAAAGCTTCCAATTGTTAGTGAGTATTTTATGTGATACCAAGATTGACTGCCATTAAATTAGAATTCGGAAACAAAAACAAAACAAAAATAACCTGTGTGTAGCAGTCAATTGCAGTTTTGGAATCTTTACACCGGAAAGCAGAATTGCCTTTTTTCTTCGAATTTATTGTTGTCTGCATTTGGTCAGTCCACATTTGGAATGAGAGCTGAAATGTTGAAAGATGGCAGTGAGCAAAAGCACAATGCATAGGCTGTAATTTTATCTGGGTCAAAAAGAACAATAAAATTGTCTCTGGTATGACAAAGCATAACATGCTCTCAAGCGGTTGACATCCTCCATGGCAACAAAAGAAAAAGGTGGGAGGGCTTTAGATATCAGCAAGGTTTTAAAAAGCAGCCACAACCGTTACGTAACGCCGTTACGTAACGGTTTTGGCGGTTACCGCCACCTGTTACGGCCGCTTTTGCAGTGTGATTGAGATTCACAGGTGTGTCGGTCATAGCGGCTGCCGTAGCGGTCGTTACGGTGCTGTAACAGCCGTAACGGCCTGTTACGCACCGTTACGTAACGGTTCCAAACTGTTTCTTTCGAAAAAACACACAAAAAAAAGCTGAAAATGGGGGAAGAGGGATAAAGAGAAGAGGAAGGGTAAAGAGAGAAAATAGAGGAGCAAGAGATAGAGAGAGAAGAGGGAAGATGAAGAACATGTTATTGATTTGTTGAAGCTGTATGACCTATGCTATTCTATTCAGCAGCTATCACTAAACCATTTTGTTTGTGTGTGTCTATCTATATATTGTTTGAAAATAATAATAATAATAATAAGCGTGGTCATTATCTATTTGGCTTGGTTAAAATATGTATATATATATATTTAAGCTCTTATTTATTCTCTTACTTTTGTCATTGTTTATCTTATATATAATAGTTAGTGATTGATTTTTTGTATATTATAAAGTTATTAATTATTAAAATCAAATGTAAAAAACTCAATTTATAGTGATTTAAAAATATGAAATATGTTGGATTATATTTAAAAATTTATAAAAATTGATCAATATTTATTTTTAATCCAATAAATATGATCATGGAAAAAAAAATATGCATATCAGTAAGTTTTTTTTCAAATTGTGCGAAAAATAAAAAAATTCACAGTTCCAGTTACCGCAACCGTTACACTACTGCCTTTACACCCCGCAACCGCAACCGCAACCGTGTCACCGCCACCGTTACGGCGACCACAACCGCTTTTCAGAACCTTGGATATCAGCCAATTAGTATCAAGATTTTAGAGTTGCGATACCGATATTCACTTATATATCAGTCGATATTGACCGATATATCATGCTCAGGCAACGGAAAATTGAAGCTGAAGCTTACAAAGCAATTATATTGCACTATGTATAAGCCCTAAACATTCTAATGAGACAATTATGTGAGATTAAGATGTTGACTTCAGAATACATGACGACAAAAATCATCTTTAACATTTTTTAAACATATACAATACCTCATTGGTGACACCTTCGTCATCTTTATACCCAATATTCTCGAAGATCTCATGTATGGCAGTCAAGTCCATTCTTAAGCATGCTTCACCAAGTGGGGATTTAGGTGAGAAGGAAGCACTGGGCGAGATGCCCATTAAGACATGAGGAGGAACCTGTACAGCAAGAAACCACAGATTCATAACAAACCTAAATCTGCTAAACAAGATGAAATTGGCACATTCAAAATTTCAAACAACTAATTCTGACTATAAGAAGTTAAAAATGTAAAAGTATCATACCAAAAAAAATAAATAAATAATTAGGAAACAGTCCAGACTTTCCAATTTCTGAGTTGCTTTGGGATGATAAGCCTTCATTCTTAAGAAAATTAAGCAAAAAAAAAAAATGCAATTGACCTTGGTATTTTCCTGAAGAGTAGTCAAAATAGCCACTAATGACTTTGGATTTGGCCTTTCTTGGGGTTCATATTGCAAGCATCGAGAAGCCAAGCGTACTAACTCAGTCCTAGCATCATCGGAAAATTTTCCTTCCAAGAAAGAATCTGTCAGCATCTCAAGGTTCCTGTCCCGTATCAAATCAAGGGCCTGGTAGAATTACCACAGCATTAGGCACGTAATGTCAAATACATATCCTAGAAAGATCATTAATCTAAGAAATGGAAAATATCTGCATAAAGAAATTGGATCCTTGTGGGTTTGCCAATTTTGGATCCCTATATACATATTCAGAGAGAGAGAGAGAGCAGGCCAGCTTATTCTGTCTGTAACTACGTATACGAAATCCAAAACAGAATAAAAAGATAAATATAAGCTTTGGGGGGCGCTCTAGACTCAAACAACAGTATTGTCAAAAAATAATTTGCATAAAGCATAAAACATCAAATTTGGTTGTAAGATATAGATACTTACATAGCTAGGGGGAATATGTTTCCCACTAAGAACATCAAGCAAAAGAGTGCCAAAGCTATATATTACACCTTCTAGTGTCACTGTACCCAAGGTTCTGAAAAGCGGTTGTGGTCGCTGTAACGGTGGCGGTGACACGGTTGCGGTTGCGGTTGCGGTTGCGGGGTGTAAAGGCAGTAGTGTAACGGTTGCGGTAACTGGAACCGTGAATTTTTTTATTTTTCGCACAATTTGAAAAAAAACTTACTGATACGCATATTTTTTTTCCATGATCATATTTATTGGATTAAAAATAAATATTGATCAATTTTTATAAATTTTTAAATATGATCCAACATATTTCATATTTTTAAATCACTATAAATTGAGTTTTTTACATTTTATTTTAATAATTAATAACTTTATAATATACAAAAAATCAATCACTAACTATTATATATAAGATAAACAATGACAAAAGTAAGAGAATAAATAAGAGCTTAAATATATATATATACATATTTTAACCAAGCCAAATAGATAATGACCACGCTTATTATTATTATTATTTTCAAACAATATATAGATAGACGCACACAAACAAAATGGTTTAGTGATAGCTGCTGAATAGAATAGCATAGGTCATACAGCTTCAACAAATCAATAACATGTTCTTCATCTTCCCTCTTCTCTCTCTCTATCTCTTGCTCCTCTATTTTCTCTCTTTATCCTTTCTCTTCTCTTTATCCCTCTTCCCCCATTTTCAGCTTTTTTTTGTGTGTTTTTTCGAAAGAAACAGTTTGAAACCGTTACGTAACGGTGCGTAACAAGCCGTTACGGCTGTTACAGCACCGTTACGACCGCTACGGCAGCCGCTATGACCGACACACCTGTGAATCTCAATCACACTGCAAAAGCGGCCGTAACGGGTGGCGGTAACCGCCAAAACCGTTACGTAACGGCGTTACGTAACGGTTGTGGCCGCTTTTTAAAACCTTGATTGTACCTATACAAAGAAGACCAGCATATGAAGCAAGAATAGTTATCCAAACATCATTTAGGCTATTTAAAACATCCAAGTAACAAAGGAGTGTGAAACATCAAATTTGTCATCAATGACATCAAGAGAATTTTGAACCAGATAAATAATTAACCTCATCCACCAAAAGAAGTATCTTACCTTGTTTGGTTGAGTTTTCATAATCTGCTTTCAGTTTAGTTTGATGAAAATAAAAAAATAAAAATAAAAATCAAATAGATAAAAAAAAAATTTGCCCAAAATATGAAAATGATTAGTGCTTTTGATTTTTTTTTTTTCATTAAACTCAAAAAACATATTTTGAAAACTCAACCAAAAGTTTGTTTGAATTTGTTATTGTATTTTTGTTTTCTGTTTTCACTTTCTAAAAAACACAGAAAACTTGTTTGGTGAACTTTTTTTGATACAATTTTCTAAAAACAATCTACCTTTTAGGAAACAACAAAAGTTGTTTCTGAATTTTTGAAAACTAGCAAAAACATAAACAATTTGAAAATGATGGGTTGAACTTTTTATTGTCTTTGTTTCCTATATGCAAATGATTAGTGTTTTTGATTTTTTTCATTAAACTCAAAAAACATATTTTGAAAACTCAACCAAAAGCTTGTTTGATTTTGTGATCATTTTTTTGTTTTCTGTTTTCACTTTCCGAAAAACACATAAAACTTATTTGGCGAACTTTTTTCGATACAATTTTCTAGAAACAATCCACCTTTTAGGAAACAACAAAAGTTGTTTCTGAATTTTTGAAAACTAGCAAAAACATAAACAATTTGAAAATGATGGGTTAAACTTTTTATTGTTTTTGTTTCCAAAAACATGAAAAATGAAAACAAAGAAAACAGAAAATATAACAAAAACAGGATAAATATGCATTTGTGCTTAACTCTGAAAGCTAATTTCTTTTACCATTGTAGAAGAAAAGTAGAAGACAAATAACATTACGCTTGGTTAAAAGGCATGTTCCCCACAAAACAGAAGGAAGAACCAAAAATACGAGGTGAGATCATAATGAAGTTCAATGAAAGAGACTTCTAATAGATCCTACATGATTTAAAAAAAAATTGGGCGCATAAAAATTGTCCTTTATCATCAAGAGAATACATACCGGTTTTCAGAAACTCTGGAGGAATAAATCACAAATTTGTACTATAAATATTTCCATTCCCACTACATTTCATCAGGCCAAAGCACGAAAGTCTATGATTACAGTCCTGCAAAATTCTAAAAAGATAAATAGAGGAACCCATACGAAATTCAACTGAATAGAGGTGTCCAAATTAAGGAAATATTTAATATATACCTCATCGAATAAAACTCTGTAAGGATTTAGGTCGTGATAAACGGAACAGCCTTTGCTTGTACAATATTCTAGAGCTTGTGCAACATGTAAAACCACCCTCAATCGCATTGCCCATTTCATAGGTTGTGTTTCCCCTGAACCAAAAGAATTATTGCATTATCCAATATACCAAATTAGATTGGTACTTACCAAAGGATATAGAAATAATGGAAACATATAGCAAATAATTGATGCCGGTAAAAAACAACAATACTAATGGAACCTATAATAGTGAGTTATAAAGTACGGACACTTCAAAATAGTTGTTGTAGCAATGTTAGACACATATGAGACAGACACGACTGGGCATGCATCTTACACGCCACATGGAGTGTCTATTTATTAATACTTTTTTTCACTAGACACACCTGGGACACACTTAAGAAGCATTTAGGCCACGGTAAGTTCAACTTTAGCTGGGAAAAAAAAAACTTACAGTAAAACAAGTGTTTTGCGAGTGTATTGTTGGGCATATATTCAGCCACAAGCAGCATTTCATCATATTCACGGCACTAACCAAGCAAGTTTGCCAACCTATGGTTACGGAGATGGCCAACCAACCTTGCTTCTTCCTATAGTTGCCAAAGAAAATAATTATAGTCAAGAATGAAAAAAAAAGTTTTAAGGCACATCCCAAACACTACATATGTGAAAGATGTAGATAAGTGACATAGTAATTGAAACCCATTCAAGACATATGAAGGAACATTGATTCCGACACAGACATGCAAGTCATCTTGGATCAATGCAAATTAAATGAAAAAGTGAAAAGAGCAGAACAAATTTTCATAGGGCTTCGTATACCGGAGACGCCCTTTTTAATGACCAGCCTAGACAGCCCAAACTAAGGTCTGGTTTTCATAATCAATTTTGAAAGATAATTTTCTAAAAATTTGTTTGGCTGTACATTCTAAAAATAGTTTTTAGAAATTTGAAAATCCAAAAGTCATTTAGTTTTCAAATTTGAAATAATTTTTAAAACTCTGTTTTGTTTTGGAGCTTTCGAAACTAGTTTTTAAGTTTCAATCTATATTTTATTATTTTTAGTGAACTTTTTAAGTATTTTAATCAATATTTTTTAAGTTTTAGATACACTCAATCTAAATAAACCCAAACCATATAAAATTTATGAAAAAAATCATTTAAAAAATCACTAAATATTAACAAATATACAAATTTAATACATTTTTGTATGTATTTTGTATTTATTAAATTTTTAATTTTTTTTTTAAAATATATGCAGATTAGATGTATTTAAAAAATAAAACAAATTAGTCAATATATTAAAAAAATACAAATTAAAAATTTAAAACTATTTTTGAAACCTCCAAAACCAACCAAAATTTAAAAAATTATTTACTCATCCCATAATGGTCCTCCAAATTTAAATTGAACATATTTTTTTCATTATGATTTTCCACTTTTTGAAAAAATATTTTGTTTTTAAAATCTGAAAATAATTTTTAAATGTTTATATTTATCAAATTAGTTTCTGTTTTGATACCTGGCAATTTGACTGCTTGTATTGCGCTGGAATCTCCACAGAGTTGATCACTCACCAGACTTGGACGTTAGGAATGTGAGCTAAGTGGGGCCAATATTTGCCTTTCCCCTTTTCAAACTTCCCTGTTAGTCTCGGACAACTCTCGATCCACAATATCCCAAGTGAGGGAGGCAGCCTTTGCACTGGTAAAGATTTGAGCCTAGGGCAATCAGAGATTTCAAGTTGTTCAAGAGAGGCGAGGTTTTGAAACAACTTAGAAGATAGCTTCTCCAGATTTCGGAAATTCCAGATGCTAAGACTGGTCAGAGAGGTGGGCAGCAACATCCCATCTATCGGAAAGCTGTAACCCACCGGATGTTCTTCTTCTTTGCCTTCAGTCAACGTTAGGCTTTTAAGAGAGGATAAACTGTGCAAACCAATCTTCTTGAAGTTGTTGTTCCATTGTGAAATATCCATCCACAGCTCTTGAAGAGAAGTGAGGTAGCTGATGCTCTGCAATCCGTGTGGTAGGGCCTTCAGTTTTTTGCATCCCCCGATATTCAATTCTCTCAGATTTGTTGCGGAGTGTAACCATCCTTCCGGAATGTACTCCAAATTCTCACACCCATACAACCACAATCGACGGAGATTCCTGAGATTATTATTATTAGGAAGGGCATCTGGCAAGTATTTCAGCCTATCACAACCATAGATCGAAACAGACTCAAGAGATGGACTGTTAATTTCCATCGCCTCCTCTACTAGCAGTGCCTCCAACTTTTTACAATTCATAATATCAAGCTCTTTGAGTGTGTGTGGTAGCCCCCCACCTCTGCACGATATCAAGCATGTGAGGGATGGACAATTCTTAACCCTTAACACTTCAAGATTATTGTCATTAATCTGCGTTATCCACCCGAATAAGGATTGCAGAGCCTCACAATCACTTATCTTGAGTTTTTTCAGCGTGCAGGGAAAACCTGTCTCCGGAAAAGAGCCGAGACTTGGACACTTAGAGACATACAACTCTCGAAGAAAAGTGAAGGTATGTAGCAGCCGTGGCAGTTTATCCATGCTAGGGAGTCCCTCTTGTTGTTGTTGCTGATGTTGCCCTTCATTTTCTTCATCCTCATCTTCTTCAAACAATGAAACTAGCTGGGGGCAGTCTTTAATTTCCAAACGTCGGAATGCAGGGAAGCTGTGTTGCACTCTCGCCTCATTCTTCCACAGTGTCTTGAGTTCTTCACACCTTCTAATGTTCAATTCCTCGACTTCCATCAGCCCATGAGTAACCCGTTTCGGCAAGAGCTCGAGTTTCTTAATCATCCCAATGCTCAAGGAAGTTATTGAACTCGGATGCTTAGACTTTGCATTTGCCGATATCACTTCATCATCAACCATACTCCTCATCTCAAGGACCGCTTCAAGGCTTGTTAGAGGAATGTCATTCATAGCTATCGAGGTGAGTAACGGGAGGCTAATGCTAGAATCTTCAACTAGGAATTGCGGGCACTCTGAAATCTCTAGGTTATTCAAACAAGGTAGATCCTTGGGCATCATTCCGCAGAGGTTGGGGCAGTTCGAGATCTGTAGCTTATTCAAACAAGGTAGATCACTTGGCAACATTCCAACAAGTTTAGGACAATTTTTGATGGAGAGCTCACTAACATGAGTAAAAGGTTGAACTTCCTTGTGATCTCCAAAAGTATACCAATCCTCCCATTCTAGCATAAGCTCAAAGCTTAGAGTCTCCAGTAACAGAAAAGGTTGAACACCACCTCGCCCATAGAACTCACAACCAACATGCTTTAGTACTCTCATTCCTTTAATGTAAAGCTTTTTGAGGGAGGGTAGTTGTCCAAGTGGTGGCAAGGATGCACAATTTACACAATTATCTAAACTTAGGTCAGCCATATTGGAGAACAGAGGATCTCCTATCCAAGTCGGAAATCCTGTACCAAGGTAGCCTTTGATATGGAGTTCTTTTAAATTCTTGTGAGGTTGTAGCATGTCAAGCACTTCTGTTTCAACTCTTCCATCTCGTGAATCATCTGAGTTAACACTCCATTCCATTGATAACACATCTAACCCCTTCTTATCATTTAAATTCGCCTCCCTTGCATCTAATGGAACCACCACATTCTGTAACCCAGATAGGCAAAGCTTCCCCCGAAGATAAATTAAGTTCCCCAACTCTCTTATCCCATGCCCATTGTTTTTAGTAACAATAAACTTGGACAATGTATGAAGATTAACCAACTTACCTATTGTCAGTGGCATTTCTTCTAAGGAATGTGCATTTGTAGTATCGAGATGACGTAGGTCAATTAGGTTTCCCAAGTTTGCTGGCAACTTTTCCAGATTTATACATTTTCTTAACATCAATGTTTGTAGATTGTAAAGAGAGCCTAGTGATTCAGGTAATTCTTTTATATGACTGTAGGAAAGGTTAAGATACCGCAGATGTTTCAAATCTCCAACAGAATTTGGAACTTCTGTGATGTAATATCTACTCATATTGAGCACCCTCAAGCGTCTTAGCTTCGGCAATAAATTCGGCAATAGATTATGGGGAACATTGCTTGTCGGAAAATAATCTGAATAAGATTTTAAGGAAAATGGTAAGAAGGTCCGTAAATGCGTGGCTTTGTCAAAGATCTCAAATTTTTTCATACCCTCAAGGTACTCCTGCATGTAAGATGAATGTCGAGCTTTCTTTATATTTTTGCACTGCTCCTGATATTTCAATCTATCATCCAATCTAAAACAAGTATCTCTTGCAACTACCTGAGCCAAATCATTGATAAGGTCATGCATCACAAATTTAGAGCTTTTACCAGTACTTGATGGTTGGAAAAAAGACCTTGACAACAATTCACGGAAGTACTCAGCTCCTACATCTTCTAGTTGCCTCTTTCTTTGTTGTTGAATGAAGCCCTCCGCCATCCACAACAAGACTAGCTCCTCTTCCTCAAATTCATAGTCATTGGGTATTATAGAGCAGTATGCAAAGCACTGCTTCAACTGCGGGGGGAGATCATGATAGCTTAATCTCAAAGCAGGAAGGATGTGACTTTTTGTGTGTGGTAAATCCCATATTTTACTGCGCAATACCTTTACCCATTCCTCATCTCGTACTTTGTTGCGTAAAAGGCCACCGAGTGTCCTAGCAGCCAGAGGCAAACCTTTACATTTCTCCACAATTTCCTTACCAATTGATACCAAATTTGGATTTGCAACAATACTTGTATTCGCAAAGGCATGTTGTGCAAACAATGACCAACAATCCTCATTTGATAGGATCTTAATGTCATGAAGTTCAACAGTTGCCATCATTGTTGCAATGTCTCTGTTACGTGTTGTCACCACGACTTTACTCCCTTGGGCTCCATCATTGAAAGGGGTCTTCAGAACATTCCAAGCATCGTAGTCTTCATTCCAGACATCATCTAAAACAATTAAGAACTTCTTTCCAGTCAAAGCCTCCTTTAGTTTAACTTGAGCTTGATCCAAGTTATTAAAACTACATGTCGGGGAAGTCACTGAATCATAAATTGCTTTTGTTATTTTCATAATGTCAAACTCATTTGACACACAGACCCATGCTTTCAGATCGAAATGCTTCTGCGCGGTTTCATCCTTGTATGCCATCTGTGCCAGGGTGGTCTTGCCAACCCCACCCATACCCACAATAGGAATTACGTCAACTTTGTTACGACTTGATTCACCCCCACCTACAAGCAACTCAATTATCTTTCTTCGATCCTTTTCTCTTCCATAAACGCGAGGTTCTTTTAATAACGATGTAGACTCTGGTCTTTGCCATGTCTTAGGGGTAGGTGTGGTGGTTCCAACAATCTTAACCAAATTAAGTTGCGAAGATCGAACAAAACTAGTGCGTAATCTGGTATTGATCTCCTTAATCTTGGACGTCATTTTGAAATTAAAGATAACATCTTTTGGCTTGAAATTAGGGATTGGATTCCATACCTTGCTGGAACTAGGTTGGGGCGGCTTTGCCTTGAGATTCTGTCGCAAGGCTTCGGTGGCAAACTCATCCACTAAATCATCCAAATCATATGCCAGATCCTGGAGATCGTCGAGCCACAGGTTCACGGCTCGATCTTTCATTTGCTTCTCCTCCGCGTCAATCAGAAGAGCTTCAATTTGAGACAGCATATTGGTCCAATTGGTGAGCTGGGTATCAATACCTTCAAAGGACGGTAATTTGGAGGAGGCAAAAGAGGACATCTTCTCAAACAGCAATTTGACCAAGGCAGAGAGAAAGATCTCTGCTACAGGCATTGTTTCCAATTACAGAAGGAAAAAAACCAACAGATCAGAAGCAAAAGCAAAACCAAAACCAAAACAAAGCAAAGAGAGAGGTTGTTGACTTTTCTTGAGTGAAAAAAAAAAAATGAATATTTTTTGAGTGCTGAGATAAGTCAAAAATGGCGTCTTCTTTCATTGGCTCCTCGTCCCTCTGCGAAAAACATGTAAATTAAAAAAAAAATAAAAGAACCCAAGTTGGTAGAACCCAATTATTTTTTAATATATTTTTAAATGAATTTATATCTTTATCATGGTTTTTCTCAGTTTGTAGAGAGTGGCTTAGCAGTTTTTCAATCTTTACCCGACAATATAGTTTTGGGTTTTGTTTCATACATTTTTTTTTTTTTTTTGAAATGTGATTTTTTCATTATTATTATTGAATTTAAAATGAAAAAAAACTATGAGTAAAATAAAAAAGAAATTAAAGTGAAATTTAAAATTAATTATAAAGATTACCGGTATAATACATTCATTATATCAAACACTTTAGATTATTAGAATAAAACTCAGAGAATTTCATGAGTCCAAACAATACTTTTCAATACAAATTGAGAACTAAATTTTTTATTTTTTATTATTTTTGTGAAGATTTGCCTGACAATTATAAAAAATATATATATATTCTTTTTCACCATAATATATATATTTTTTTTTTGATTTTTTTTTGGGCCTTGATTTGATTTTGTTGTTTGTTTTATTTTCTTGTGTTAGGCTGCAAGTTGATAGCTTGCCAACCGGTGGCCTTGTTGGATCTTCCATGGAATCAAGATAGGGAAAGTGGTAATATTTATTGGGTAAATTAAATTAGGAGTTTTCGTATATCATTTTGATTCTCACATTTTTAATTGATTTAATATTGATTTTAATTTTAAATTTTGTATTAATTTGATTCAATTAATAATGTCAGTGTTTTTGAAGTAAAATCGTTAATGAGATGATTGAGATTGACTCACTCAGTTAATAAAATTTACAATTTTGTTCTTAAAAGCGTAACTCATGCTATTTATGTGTGCACTTTTCATAATTTTAAAAAAAAAAGAAAAGAAAAAAGAACTTAAAAATTGCAATCAATTAGGTTAAATTGAAAAAATAAAAAAATTAAGATTGAAATTGAATTAATTAAAATTACAAAGATCAAAATAACACTAAAACAAAACTATAAAAATTAGTTGTTAAAATTTGCACTTATTTATTTTCTTATTGTAATATGTAATAAGTAATGGTGTTTGTTTGTTCACGAGGCTTTTCTCATATCACACACAAGCATCATGCCAATTACTCATTTTTCTGAATAAAATGTTTCTCACTCCCTCTTTCTCTATGTAATTTTTGTATCTTTGTGGAAAAAACTGTCAAAATTCACAAATTTTTTATCAAATGATTTTGTATTTTCAAAATAAGAAAGTGTGAATGTTTATAGATTTTTTATTGGAAGAATCTTTTTATTTCACTATAAAAAAGGATTGTTCCCAAAAGTAATTAACAAAAACAATTTATTAAACAAAATTTTCATATCAAGTTCCAATTTTCTTTTCTTTTTTTTTTACCAAACAAAAATGCTAAAAAGGTCTAATTATTTAACAAAGTCTTTAATTAGGAGCAGATCCATAATTCAAACTTGAGGGGATAAAAATACAAATAACTTTTCATCAAAAACAAGTATTGTAAAATTTAAAATTTTAATTGATGCCAAGGCAAAAAAGTGAATAATATTAGTATTAATTGAATATTCTTTATCAACATAATTGAAAATAAAAATATAATCAGACTTTTTTTTTTTACATTAACTTAACAAAAATCTTAACTATTATTATATCTACTCTCTGTCTATTAAAGTTAATTATTTAAAAATATAGATTTTTTCCCAAACTTGAGAATTTGCCTGTGAAATGTAGAGATTGTTGGAAATGGTTATAAATTCTGGGTAAAATCAGAATTTTATCCTAAGTTCAGTCTATTTTTTAGGTGGGCCCCGTGTGTCAATTTTCACCGGTCAAAGTGGTAACGCGTTCTATGCCGCGTTGTGATTCACGTGGTATATTTGGATGCTCAAAACCATTACCGAGTGAATGGGAAATTGAAGCCAAAGTGTGCACCGTGAAAATGGAGTTTTGGTGGAAATTCCTTAAAGGTTTGAATAAGGCTTGTCGCACATTGATTTGGTGGGAGGTTTTGAAAGAGTTTATAAGGCATGGGTTTGGTACTTGGGGTGTGCCCCAAGGGGTACCCAAGTGTTTTAGAGGGAGAGGTTATGAGCAAAATGGGCTAGATCCATTGGACTCAAAAAACCACCACACGCGCACGCGCCGTCGTCCGGGCGGGCTGGACTTGGGTGCAGGTGCGTGGTGTGTGGTTGGGTTGGGCTTGTCCGGCCCAATACTAATCTTTTTAGGTCAAAAACATTTGAATTTTATTTTATTTTTGGTAAAATAAAATCCAGAATTCAAATTAAACTAGTTTGGTTTTTCTGTACATCCAAACATGGCCCTTCCCGTATTAAAGCGGAAATAATCTGATCCGGATTTATTGTACACCCAAACAAGGCCCTTCTCGTTTTTGTTATCTGTTTGAATTGTAACCCAACAGATTCAAATCTGTTTGAATTCAAAACCAACAGGTATCATACCTGTTCAATTCAAAAACCTAGAGCCACCATTCCATCTATAAATAGGACAACCCTCATTTGGATTTGTAGAACTCTAATTTTCGTCCTTCATAATTGTGCAAACATCCTCTTCATTTTGCTGCATTATTTTCTTGTCAGAGAGAGTATAAACACTTTGTGTGTTCGTTAGACAAACAATTTGTAGTGCTGCTATTGTTTGTAGTAGATCATTTTATCTTGGGAGATAGACGTCCACATTCTGAAAGCACCGTGGAGAGGATGAATCTGTCTTAAGGACACAGTGTCAAACACTGGATTTGATCAGATTATAATTCGAAGAAATTAAATCAAGTAAGTTATTTAATTAATTTTTGTATTACTGTTATTTATTTAAATCAGATTTTAATTTTATTTTTGTAACAAAATAAAATTTGTTTTTATTTATTTATTTATTATTTCGAGTTTGATTTTTGTAATCAAACAAATTCTCTTTTTTTCTTTATTTCTTTAAATTCTAGTTGTTGTTTTGTATACAATAGAATTAAATCTTTTAAATACAGTGAAGATTGTCCAACAATCTTAAGACAGATTCGAATTTTGTTTTTGGTATCTTCATTGTATTTAATTTTCTGTGTTTTCAAAGTAATATTCTGGTTGGAAAAATAAATAGTGATTTATGCTATTTGACAGATAATAGTAATATACTGTCTCTTTTCTTTGATAACTAGTAGTAATATACTGGTGTCATTAATAATTGCAGAATATTATTTGGTGTTACAGAAAATTATTTTGGTATATTATTTTTCTAGTTTTAGTAACAAGAAAAATAAAATTATTTTGTTGTTATAATTTATTTTCTGGTTTTAGTAACTAGAATTTATTTTTTGGTTTTGGTAACTAAAAAATTATTTTGTGTTTTTTCTAATTTTTGTAATCAGATAGTTTTGTGGTATTTTATTTTCTTGTTTCAGTAACAAGGAAAATAAAATTACAGTATTTTCTAGTTTTAGTAACAAGAAAAATAAAATAATTTTGTGTTATAATTTATTTTCTGGTTTTAGGAACTAGAAAATTAATTTGTGGTTTGTTTTTCTGATTTTTTGTAATCAGATATTATTTCGGTATTTTATTTTACTAGTTTAAATAACAAGGAAAATAAAATTATTTTGTATTTGTTCTGATTTTTGTAATCAGATAGTTTTGTGGTATTTTATTTTCTAGTTTCAGTAACAAGGAAAATAAAATTACAGTATTTTCTAGTTTTAGTAACAAGAAAAATAAAATGATTTTGTGTTATAATTTATTTTCTGGTTTAAGTAACTAGAAAATTAATTTGTGGTTTGGTTTTCTGATTTTTGTAATCAGATATTATTTCGGTATTTTATTTTACTAGTTTTAGTAACAAGGAAAATAAAATTATTTTGTTTCTACTTCGGCAGCTAATGGA